GAAACTGCAGGAAAGACCAACGGGGCCGCCCTGGGGCAGTCGTGGTGGTCATGGCTGAAGGTAGCTGTTTTGTGTGAGGCCCCTGGGATACTGAGGGGAGCAAGGCCCAGAACACAAGAGCCCCTGGTCAGGGACCTGGGGAGAGGATGTGGAAGGCCTTCCCTCTCCAGTGTTGCCTTTTCTGATTCGCCCACTGGCCTGGCTGGTTCCTGGTGCTCTTGGTAAACCAGAGGTGGAGCATGAAGGCATTTTCTTTAAGGTTCTAGACACTTCTCATGTGTTATTTTCTCAACAAACTCACAGGAGAGTTGCTACTGCACACGTTTTCAGATGGGGAGCCAGCTCTGTGAGGCTGCTGGCTGAAGCTCACAAACCAGTCTGGATGCAGCTCTGCAGATCCTCAGGAGGCCCCTCTTCTTGGCCACAGCACTGTGCCAGGTGTGTGCTATTTATAATTGGACACACGCTGTGCAGAGTGACGGACACCAGTGATCATGGTGCAGCTCAGCGGCAGCACACGTCTGTGGTGGTGACTGAACAAGGCCTGGTCTGTGGAGAAGGCCTGCCCCTTGCAATGGCAAGGCAGCTCCTGCTGAGTTAGCCTGAGGTAGACCCAGGGCAAAGCGAGGTCGTTTCTGAAGTTAAAACACATGCACTACATACAAGGGCTGCCAGCTTCCCTTGTCCACCCTGGGGGAGGTGCCAGCGGACAGTGGAGCTCATCAGCCCCTGGGGGGAGGTGCCAGTGGACAGTGGGAGATCTCATCAGCCCCTGGGGGGAGGTGCCAGTGGACAGTGGGAGATCTCATCAGCCCCTGGGGGGAGGTGCCAGTGGACAGTGGAGCTCATTAACCCCTGGGGGGAGGTGCCAGTGGACAGTGGGAGATCTCATCAGCCCCTGGGGGGAGTTGCCAGTGGACAGTGGGAGCTCATCAGCCCCTGGGGGAGGTGCCAGTGGACGGTGGGAGAGCTCATCAGGCCTGTACAGACTCACCCTGGGTTAGGGTGCACGTGCCAGGGAACCCCGCAGCACAAGAGGACTGAGCACTTAATCAGAGACAGGCGAGTGTGGACAGCCACCAGGAGGGAATCAGTGGCTGTCCTTTCTGGTCAGCAGCCGGATAGCCCCTCTGCTTCCTGGGAATGAAAGTGCATGCTGGGGCGCAGGATGGACACTTTACACTTTCTAATTTGATTCCCCCTACAGCCGGACGTTTTCCCTCTTGAGACCAGGCCAGTGATTTATGATGCGGCTATCATTTGGGAGAGGCAGTCCCATGTGCCTAAATATAGCGCCTCCTCAGGCCATAAATGGGAGGAAGGACGGGGCTCCAGAGGGAAAACTGGGCTCTGCTGGCCAAGCCAGAGCCTAGGAAGCTAGGTGACCAGGCGGCAAGAGCCTCTCTCCTCTGTCACCTCCTGTAGTCGGGTAAGTGTCCCATTGTCTCACCTTTGCTTGGCGGTGGCTTTGGGGGAAGAGCCACACTGGGGCGGACCTAGTGCCGGGTGAGGTCTCCCAGGCTGCTCTGTCAAAGACTCACTTCAGGGAAGCAGAGCATCAACTCGGGGGGTCTGGGTTTTGTGGCGAGGCTTTGTGCTCCACGAATCCTCTTCGCTCCCCAGTGCTGGCCTGTGTTGCCGTGCTGTTCTCCACCCCTCCGAGAAGCGGGGTCTCTTCTGCATTGTGCAGCATTGCACGGATGTCCCTCTGTTGACCAACACCTTTGGTTGTCATGAGGGTCTCAGAAATGAAAAGGAGGAGAGGGCAGATTTGCAGAAGGTATGAAGCAAAGGGGAGGTGTTCTTAGGAAGAAGGGAGAGGAGGGTCACTTGGTTTAGACCCAGGGGTGGCCGCTTCCCGGAGGGACTCGAGAGGCTCGCTCCAGATGAAGGTTTTCTCCAGGTCCTCTCGGCTGCCTGCTCAGCCCCGTGAGGAGCTGTGCATTCTGCAGGGCCGGTAGTTAGGCTTCCAGGAAAGGAGAGGGCTGGCAGCTGTGCTTGAGGCCAGGCAGGGCAGCCAGCAGGAGAGAGGCCGCTGACATGCCCTATCTCCCTGCCTCACATTCTTTCCTTACTGAGTACAAGGAAGATCGGAGCCTAGAGCCCGTGGCGTACACATCTTCAGAGGTGGTCTTCATAAACAGGGTCCTCAGATAAACCTCTCGGGAGCCTGGCACTGACTTGCTGGTTGCTGCCAACTCCCTGCACCAACCTGCCCCTTCCTCCCTCTGGAGGGGCTTTCAGTGCCTCTGCTCCCAGACCTTGACCTCTTGAGCTGTACAAGTGGCAGACTGGGCAAAGACTGGTAAGATGCCGAGTGCTCTGGAGGGGCGTAGAATGTCACTGTCAGCAGGTCAGCAGTGGATCTGTGTGGAATGCACATGCCGTTCTTGGTCACAGCAAGGGGACTCTGCATGTGGAACTGTGGAATTTTGAGAACTGTTGATTTAATTCTCATACCCGTGACAACACGGTGGCTCCCTGGTTGCTGGAGAGCCAGCTGGTGCAGGAGGCAGTGTGGGATCCAGTTTCTCTGACTCTGCCCTATTCAAGCATTAGGGTGAGATTAATCAGACTTCTCAGTAGCAGGAGGACTTTGTAGCTCTGAGGCTGGACTCCTTGAGCTCACGTTCTGGCTCTGGCAGGTTCCTGGAGGAGTTCTGGAAAATTTAGCTGCCAGAGATTAGACATCAAGCTATATTTGGTTGACCCCTATGTTTTTAAGGACTTTTGGCTGTCATAATTTTTGATAACCATTTTGGAAAAATCACTGGCCCACGTAACTCCCGGGGTGGAGGCACAGGAGAACGCCCGTCACGGGATCCCAGGGCTTAGTCACCAGGGCCTCTCCGAGTGCCAAACCCCTGCCTTTCTCCCCACTGAGTGGCCTTCCCTCTGGGTGTGTCTCTGGACTTCCACATCTTCAGCTGTAGAATCAATACTTTCTTTACCAAATGGAAATAAACGGCTCTGAACTTGAAATGTCTTTGCAAATTGAAGCGGTGCCTGGCTGCATGAAAGAGGAGTTCAACAGGGCTCTTCCCAGGAAGGGCTTAGGACCAGGCACTCCCCAGACCTCAGTCCCAGGCTCCAGCACAGGCTTGGGTTTCATGGTGATGTCAAAGTCCCCAGTTGTGTGGGGAGCACTTGTGCGTGGCCCCAGAGCTAGGCCATGAGTCGTAAAGTGGCCGGGAGTGGTCAGAAGACCAGCTGACGCCTGGGCTCTGCGGGACCTGGGTGGGTGGTGTTCCCGGGGACCTTCAGCTCACACAGGGCAGTGTTCCACCAGTGTTATTTAACATGGCTGTGGACACACACATGGCTGGGGGTTCAGGGATCTAGTTGCCACCTAGTGCAGCTCTCTGGCTTTACAGGGAACGGAGCAGGGCCCCAGAGTGACAGAGGGCTCCGCTCTCAGGTCCCGGGGGAGTCCGGGCTTCTCAACAGCCCTGCACCATGGGCTCCACCAAGACCTGCCCTTTGAGGAAAGGCTTCTCCTGTCCTTGGGGGGCACATGTGCGACACGTAGCACAGCTGAGACCTCTTCTGCAGGAAGGCCGGGTTCTCTGTAGGGTGGCGGGGGCGGAGGGCCCCTTCCCAGCCTGGCAGCACAGTGGCACCGGGCACGTTCTCTTGAGGACCCTCTGCTTTACGACACCTGCCCAGGCTGCACCACAGAGCCCACACGGAGCTCAGGAAGGTGCTTCCGGGTCTCGCCACACACAGTGCCGGGAGGGGAGGTATCCAGCCTGGTCAGGGAAGCTGTGAGTTAGGAGGCGGCCGAGGAATGAGCCTCGGCAGCAGGGAAGTGCTCAGGCCTGGACATGGGCTTGACGTCCTGCTGCCATGTCTGGCTGGGCAGAAGCTTGAGGAGGAGTGGAGTCCAGGGCAGCTTGGCGCAGGGGTCAGCGCCTGGGCCAGGGATGCTGCAGGGCCCGAAGCTCTGAGAGGTCCCCCTTCAGGTCCAGTGGTTCCAGGACGTGGACAGCACGTGGCAGGTGCTCCCAGTGACCCGGGCGAGAGCACGTAGAGAGCACTTGGTGGCTCCTGATTTTGATGTCCTGATGAGGAGAAGGACGAATGGGAACAGATGCAGCGAAGCATGCATCACCTTTCTCCGTGTCGGGGGACCCCTGTAGCGAGTCTGTGCCTCACTGTGAAGTGAAGTGAGCAAGCTCGGCCCCAGCTGTGCCTTGTCACCACCAAGTGCCTGGTCTTTACTCCCGGAGCCTTTGGAGACTTCTAGGCCAGCGGACCACACGTCAGGTGGAGTCAGCCAGGTCGAGTGCTGAGGCGCAGGAGCCTTGACAGGCACCCCAACAGTTAGAGGGGAGCCGGTCCTCGCGCCCCAAAGACACGGGCATCTTCCCTCCTCAGAGCGTAGTGGAGCCAGTGGGCACTCCCTGTTGGGGACAGCACCTCCTCTCCTGTGATGTGGGCCACATTTGGGCAAACACACTGGCAGGTTAACACCAGGACGCCTCTTCCAGCCTGCCCTGCGTGGACACCACAGCTTCCCCACAGAGGCCTTCTGCACTGCCGTCCTGCCTGTGTGTGGCTCCCTCCTCCCCCAGATCCCCCCGCTGTCCGGCCAGCCGCCCCTTATCCCTCGTAAGGCTCGGTGAGCGCTCCACGCGAGCCCCAGCCCAGCCCCTGTTTTAATCATTTTTATCCTCAGCACTCACGCTGCTCTTCACAGGGCCACGGACACACTAGGTGCTCTATAAACATGGAGTTCACAGTCGGACGAGGCCGACAGCCCAGTCCTCCAGTGTTCGGGGAGGAAAGCAAGAGAGGAGATGGGGCCCAGGGCGGTTAGCCGGGCTCCTGACGCCAGGCCCCCATGACTTGCACCTGTGTGGTCTGCCTTCACTCCCCCATGGGCTGTGGCCTAGAGTGCAGGTCCCATGATGCAGACGTGAATGCAGAAGTCTCAGCAGGCCGACTCCCCGGGAGACAGAGCTGGGCTGACTTTGCTCTCCTCCCCAGGAGCACGCACGATGTCGCTGGTGGCGCTGCCCTTCTACCAGAAGAGACACAGGCACTTTGACCAGTCCTACCGTAACATTCAGACCAGGTACCTGCTGGACGAGTATGCATCCAAAAGGTAAGTCACCGCAGGCTAGACTTGCCTGGTTCTGCCTGCGGGGCCCGTGTGTCAGGGTAGGCAGCATTCGTCTCCCAACTCCAGTGATGTCTGCTTCGTGGGAGAGCAGGGATGGCAGTGTCCCCTGGTGCACATGTCCTCTCCAGAGGCTGAGCCTCTGTGTGACTGCACGGTATCCTGCAGGTTCCTTGGGCCTGGTGCTAAGCCCCTGGTGGAGACCATGACCCCAGGGACTCTTGGTACAAGCTCATCAGTTTTGCTCTTCCTCTGTGTCTTCTAGAAGTAGGATCTAGAAAGTCACCCAGCTAGAGAGCAGAGGGACTGAAGTCAATGGAACAATACTGGCAGGTGGAGCCAACGTCAATGATTCTCTACATCGAGACAGTCCTGCGGCAGGAGACTGTACTCCTGCAGATGCAGCTGGCCCGAGCCTCTAGGACATCTCTGGGCAGTGGCACATGCCTGTCCCATGCTGTTTGATGGCAGCATCTCTGTGATTTTAATGGGCTGGCTAGAAGGGAGGAAGAGACCTCTGGCCTGGCACTTAGCTGTGGGTCCTGCCACATGTCACCAACACCCTATATTTAGATCACTTGTGGCACTCCTGTTGAGTTGCCATCCCCTGTAACAAAAGAAGTCAAACATTTGCAGCCCCTAAGGGCCTCAGGGAGATTCGGATCCTTGAGGTGTATATAATCAGGACTTTGATCCAGGAGGGACCCTGGGAGGCAGTGCAGGGAATGGCCTCAGACCCAGAGGGGCTCAGGCAAGTGTGTGAGGGTGTGTGTGAGGCAGTGACTGGCCCTGGACCCAGGGAGATGGGGAACCTGACTTGGGGGATGTGGAGGGAGAGAGGACGTGATACAGGTTAGGGTTTGTGCATGTGTGCAAGTACTCATGTGTAGGCATGTGGGAGAGCATATGTGTGCATGCGGGTGTGCACCAGATGTGCACTTGTGTATGAGTATGTGCATGTGTGGACATGTGTGTGTGTGTCCCTGTGAGCACACATGTCCATGTTTGTGAGCATGTATTAGTGTATGTGTACCGTGTGTGCATGTGAGTGCGTGCATGTGTGGGAGCGCGCTCTGTGTGCACATGCGTGTGTTTCCAGGACGGTTGGGGTGTATGAAAAGCACGTGGTGTCTGCTGGGATGCAGGTCAACGATTTCCTGGACAGGTAATTGTTACCAATGTCTCTTCAGGAGGGCGTCCTCCCGGTCATCGCAGAAGTCCCTGAAGCAGCAGTCATCCGCACAGAGCGCGTCTAGCCAGACCTCGACGGGGGGGACAACCTGCCAGCTCTGTGCGAAGCGGCTGAGCGCCTTGGAGGAGGAGCATAAGAATGAAAGAAGGTAACTGCCCAGCGGCCCCTTGGCTGCTCAGAGTGTGGTCAGAGCAGACTCAGCGAGCTGTAGGCTGGACGCCCAGGGCAGCGTGCAGAGAGGGCACCAGAGTGGACTGGCCTGGAGCCTTTGCTGCGTGAACTCTGTGAATCCCAGCAGGGGCTGCCTGGGGGGAGTCTCCTGCTCTGTAGCCTGGGGGCTGCAGCTCAGGTCCATGGGGGCTGGGAGGGCCTCTGCAGGAGCTGTCTGCTCACTCAGGGGCGTCCAAGCCAACCGCCGGAGATGGAGTGTGAATTTCCACTCACAGCCTCTCTGGCTAGTAAGGAACAGTGGCTGATCCCAGCAAGGTCATCTTCCAAAGAGGCAGCCAGGGCTTGAGCAGTTGTCCCAGTGGAAACTGGAGGCCACGAGGGGCTCTATAAATCGTCATACTTTGCATTTCTGTGGAGTTGGCTCAGCGGACAGAGTGCCATAGGAAAGAGAGGACGGAGTAGCAATGTCAGTCCTAAAACTAATCCCAGGTGTGGAAAAATGGCTGGTGGCATTGCTTTGGTCTTTAAAGAACAAAATAAACAGATGGATACATTACACCGTGATATTTCCCTCCAGCTCCCTACTCTTGCTTAAAGATCTTCTCTATGTCTGTGGACAACACCGAGCCTGAAGGAAAAACGAGACTGGGTCAACGTGGCTCCTTTTGAAAACGGTTTTGTGATGGAGTGACGTGTTCAATCAGCCAATCTGTAGCTGTAAGACAAGCTCCGATTTTCAAAGCTTGGAGTTACCTTTTAAGTGTCTTTGGCAAATTCGCCCTGTAAATGGATTTTATTGCCAAATGAAAACTTCTTTTATTAAGGAATCACTTCAAAATGTAGACACAAAAACAATCTGCATTTTTAAGTATTTAAAACTTAAACTTGCTTGGCTCGTTTTTAAAAGGGTTCTTCTATCTATATTTAAGTTCTCGGGACTGGACAGAGAAGACGTGAGCTGTACCATGTTATTTCATCAGTGGCTCTTCCGTGTGACCTTGAACATAGTGCATGACTCCTGTTCCTCAGGTTTCCCACTGGTAGCTCACCACGGGAAGGGCCATGGGTGAGCATATGGCCATGGGTGCTGTCCATGTGGACATGGTGGAGCTGGCCCTGAACTGACCCCCATCCTGCTGTTCTTCTTCCTGGCTGTGTAGCCTTCCACTCTCAGATCCCACATGCACTTTTCCACGTGAGGCACCTGGACAGTGATCCCGCCTCCTTAGGAGGCAAGTGTGTGCGGCGGGGGTTTGATGAGCTGCCGGGGCCTGGTGATTCCCCTCGGATGCTTGCTGTGCTCCTGTGTGAGGTGGGCTGAGAGGTGAAGTGAGCTGTGCCCTGTTTTCACACTTCACCTCACACACTACCCCAAGTGTTATCCCAGCGCTGAATTCCTTACCTACACGCAGATAACAGTTCACCAGCCTGGACAAAGGTGGAATCAGGGGTCCTCAGGTTGTACTGCTGCTCATGTGAAACAAATACTGGGTCCCGTGGTGGCCTCTGATCCCAGCTGAGGTAGGAGGGTTGCCAGTTTGAGGCCAGCCTCAGAGACTTAGCAAGAGACGGTCTTGAAATTAAGAACAGGGCTGGGGAAGTAGCCCAGTGATGGGGCGGCAGCCCAGGGTGTCTGAGGCCCCGGGTTCCCCAGATGCTGAAGGGGCACTGTGCACGGTGTGGAGCTCAGGAGTCCCGGGGGATATGGCAGATCAGAAGTGCCCTCAGATGCCTTCGCTTCTGTGCTGGTGAAGGGTGGCCCCCGAGTTCTGGCTGTTACGGGGCTCACCCTCTAGAGTGAACGCACAGGCCAGAGTCCAGCTCAGCTGGTGGCCGATGGGCAGAGACTTTCTCTACATGCCCAGCGGGGGTGGATGGGGGAGGAACTTCCAGACCCGCGTTCATCCTGACCCACAACTGTCAAGGCGGTGCCCTGGGTGGAGAGCCAGCCTGGGCTCTGTGCGTAGTCTGAAGAGCAGGGGCTCACACCGCTTGGAGCCTGACCCCGGGCCTGCCCTGACCCTGGGAGGCAGGCAGGACTTCTGATCCTTCCCTGTCACTCAGGGACTCACTGGGACTGGAAGGGCGGGTGCTCCCTGCTCTGCAGACACACATTCCAGAGCTGGCACCGGGAGGGAGGAAGCCGGAGCCTCCTCTTGCCTGGGGGGGACTCAGGCACATGTGAAGCCAGTGCCCCGACCCACACCCGTGGATGCTCAGGAGCGTGGCCGCGCTCTGCAGGGAGAGAGGGGGGCGGAAGGAAGCAGGCAGTGATGGGAGCCGACGGTGGGCCAGCCCCAGGAGAAGCAGGAGTCAGCGTGTAGGGTCCAGGAGAGGCCCACCTGGCGTGAGGAGATGTCCTCTGACTGGCCGAGAGGGGCCCAGCACTTCTGGGCGAAACGGAGTTGGGCGGGGGACTCGGGGCCACGTGTCAGAAGTGACGAGGAAGGCCTGTCAACCTGGGCCGAGTGATGCTGGCCTTGTGTCACGCTCTGTGTGAAGAAGCTGTGGAATTTTCTGGAGTCCTGATCTCAAGTGCAGAGCACTCAGTCTGAGTTTTATTTGGGGTCTGGGCAGCTGCCAACCTGCAGTCAGGCCCGTGGGTTTGTGGGAAGGGCCCTGGACGGGAGCCCGGCACCTGGTTGCAGGACACCCATGGTCACCTCTGATCTGGGTGACTTTCCCAACACCCTGGGCACAAGGCTCCTCCAGCTCTGGTAGCCTGGCTTTGGGGCCTGGTGTCCACCTCTGATGGCAAAGCACCAACTCTGCCTTCCACAGCTTCTCCTCCCCGGGCCTCCCACACAACCTGCCCCACCCCACGGGCACCAGATCACCCCGAGTCCTAGTGCGGGCATTTACTGGGGACAGTAGTGCAGCCCTTTCCTCCTGAGGAGGACACAGGATGCAGGCTGTCGTCTTCATAAAGCCCACAGAGGGACTAGAAGAGCTCTGGGAGCCATGGGCAGTGCTGGGCGAGGAGGGGCTCCGTGGGAGGACAGAGTTTCAAGAGGAGGGTGCGGTGGGGAGACTTCTGTGAGTGGGGTGGAGTCCCCAGGGCAACGAGAGCAGCCGATTCTGGTGGGGCCAGTGCGGTGCCCGATGAGAGGCGGAGGAGGTTGGGACGCAGGGCCCGGTTCTGAGGACATCCCTGGCGCCGTGGGGTCCAGTGGAGTGGAGGGGCTCACCAAGGCGGGCTGTGAGCACTCAGCCATTTCTCCATCCTCACGGTCTGGAGGCGCCACGTCTTTTGCTTTATCCTCTCTGGAACACAGACTTTTTCTTCACTGTTTATTCAAAGGCTTGCTGACTCTCACATTGGCTCAGAAACCACAGCCTGCACAGGAGACCAGGCTCCCCACACTGGTCCGCGTTCCCAGTCGCCAGGTCATGTCAGAGCCAACACAGAAGTGGCTCTCGTCCAGCAGCTTCTGACTGCTGGTCTCCGACCCAGAAGACAGCCGAGCCCTCTGTTTCGTCAAAGGAAGAGGCCACCTCTTGGCTTCAGTGGCACCGTCTTTATTACGTGCCTGTGGGCACGAGTTCCGTGTCCATGAGAACAGGGGCTGGCCCTCCCTGAAGGACAGTCCCCCCACCCTCTGGCCCTGCAGCAGGCCTTGTTCTCTGGAGTCTCCAACCAGCACACGCAGCTCCCCGGTGCCAAAGGCGGCCAGGGGTGAGTGTGGCGTTGGCCACGGCTGCTCCAGGTCTCCAGAACGTGGCCAGCTGTTACAGTCGGGTCTGTCATGGCCCAAGAAGACTGAGCACGTCCCTCCTGCCTTGTTCTCTTCATACATCACACACATGCTCTTCTTCACAACTTCTTCCCCAAAATACACTCTAAAAGAAAGAGGTAGAGTAAGTGCAGGTGGCGCGTCCCACTCTGGGCGTCCAGGAGGGCCTGTGGCCGGTCAGCCCACCCGGTCTTCTCTGCACTTGACGTTAACACAGCCTCTTGGACCTGCAGGTACCAGTCCCTGGTGGCTTCCTATGGAGAGGCCAAGCGGGAGCGCTTCCTCAGTGAGCTGGCCCAGCTGGAGGAGAACGTGCACCTGGCGCGGTCCCAGGCCCGGGACAAGCTGGACAAGTACGCCCTGCAGCACATGGTAGGAGGAGCCGCCGTCTGGGATGGGGGTGGACGCGGTTCGCCTCCTCCCGGGTGGTGAGTGCCTGGCGCCCAGCCATGCCCCACTACACCTGACCACTCTTGCTCCTGTGTGGCAGGTAGAGGACAAGATGGCATGGGAGAGACACGCGTTTGAGGAGCATGCGAGCAGGGCCCCTGAGATCCTGGTGCGGCTGAGGTCCCACACCGTCTGGGAGAAGATGTCCGTGAGGCTCTGCTTCACCGTGCAGGGCTTCCCCACGCCCGTGGTACAATGGTGAGGGGCTCTGCTGTGGGGGGACCAGGTCCCACTGCGTCTCCTTCCAGGAAGGGCACTTGGAGAAGCAGGAGGTGGAGACAGGTTAATAGGAACTCACAAATCTCCATTTAACCCTGTGCTGGCGTTTAGTGACGTCGACTCAGCCCATCTTCCAGAGCACTTTGAAGGCAGTTCCCTGTAACGCCCTGTGTTTGCAAGCCCTGCTCTCCCCCAGTTGGCCTCAGCACCACTGCTGGTTCTGGGCGCCAAGCCCACGGGTCTGCCCTGTGGTAGGGAGCGCATGAGAACTGAAGAGCTGAATCTTCACCCCCCACAGACCCGGCTTGCTTCAGCATCTGCTGCAAAACCAAGTATCTGTGTGTACGTTCCCTGGTGGGTCGGTACCGCCAGGTGGCAGGCAGAGGCCCAGGGAGTTCTGCCCTTCAGCGGGGGCCCTCCTTGGCCATGGGTCAGTGCTGTGGGTTCGCCCCACGGGCTCCAGGGACACTTAGCCTGATCGGCCAGGCTGCAACCTAGCTAGCACAAGCTACAGTTTTTTGTTTTGTTTTTTTAATGAAATGAACTTCTGAACTTCTAACAAGGCTCAAGCAGATGTTTGGAGGTGGCCTTCTGCAGGTCAGAGGTTGCCTGGACAGCCCTAATGATGCAGCACAGCCTGTAAGAAAACCCCAAACAGCCAGGCTCAGTGGTGCAGGCCTGTGTTCCAGCTACTTGGGAGGCTGAGGCAGGAGGATCTCAAGTTCAAGGCCAGCCTGTGCAACTTAGTGAGACCCTGTCTCACAGTTAAGAATAAAAAGGGGGGTAACTCAAAGGCAGAGTGCACCTGGGTTCAATCCCAGTACTGCAAAATAAATAAATAAAAATAAAAATATAAAATATATAAAAAGCAAACTAGAAATGGACCTCATGCCTTCTGCATCCCCTGTGTGGTGCTGAGGAAGGGGCCAGGCGTTGGCAGAGCAGATCTGCCTTAGAGGGCAGTGTGGGGGCTGGGAAAGTCTGCCTTTAAACTAAAATAGAGGTTTCCTTGACCAGGTACAAAGACGGCAGCCTGATCTGCCAGGCAGGTGAGCCAGGGAAGTACCGGATTGAGAGCAAGTATGGCGTGCACACTCTGGAGATCAACAGGTAAGGACCTGTGGGTGGTGGTGTGCGCTGGGACTGCATTCTGGAATCTGTTCAAACTCAAGAGAAGGCAGGGCCTCACCTTGGCCCTGGTGCCAGGACTGAGCACACAGATTCTGGGAGCAAAGACAGAAGTGGTTTACAGAAAACGAGCAGAGCCTGTCTCCTAGCTGCACCAAAATGCAGGGCGATCCAGAGGACCCCTGCTTAGCAGACTGCCTCGCTGCCAGGCCTGAGACACGACCCTCAGCTCAGGCCTTGCCCAGTGGACTGGCCTTGGTCGCCTGCCCTCGCAACACACTAAACAATTGTAGAAGGTGCAGACAATTATGTTAAAACTGTGCCCACGGCCAGCGTTCAGTCAGTGTTTCGCTGTGCATCTAGCTGTGTCTTTTCTCACATGACATAGCACACACAGACACAGCACACACAGACACAGAGACACACAGACTCAGAGACACACAGCAACAGATGGCATGTGCACACGGAAGCTCATGACACTTTGTTGTTCCAACGGCGAGCTGTGCCGTCCCTGTGCTGAGAACCTACAGTGTGCCGTCACTGAGAACCTACGGTGTGCCCTGTGCTATGCTAGAGGCTGGGGTACGCTGGCCACCAAAGCCCATCCTCCAGGCTTGACCTTTCACACAGCATCAGAATGTCACATGCCTCCTCTTCCACCCACAGCCCTCCAGGACACCATCTGATGGTGCAACTGTCACTTTTTAAACCAAGGAGACGGCTTCATTACTGTAATCACAGTGCACACTTGCCCTGGAGGTGAAAGACCTCAGGTTCCCCGTGACTTGGATGAATCTTTAGCCCTTCCTGAGCACATTCTCTTCTGAAGGTGATGGTCAGGAGGCAGCAGAGCTTTGAACTTCCCCACAGCCCGGCAGTGACTGTGGGACTCAGGTCCAAGGTCACACATCACAAGTGTGTGAGTGTCACACACGTGCATGATCTGTGGTGTGCGTGTGATTGTGTGCTTAGGGATTTATGCCTAATCCCTGTGGGGAAAGAGGAGGGAGTGGTCTTAGCAGTGGAAAGTGAGACGTTAGAACACAAGATGAACTGTAAGCAGCGTCGGGGTAGGCTTCCTCCGTAGTGCCCAGAGGCCTTGGAAGAGGCTCAGCCGGCTCACAGCTTCCCGTGGCCTTGCCCAGATTCGTGTTTACTATCAAAATGTTTCCTACTGCTTTTAATGAAAAAGTGCATATACGGGATCTGTTAAAGAACAAGTTTTTCTGACACTGGTTGAAGACCGTAGGGAAAAAACTCAAGATGCCAACCCACAGAGCCTTGCTGAGGGAGAGGGTGCTCAGTGCCAGCACTGTAGGACAGCCGGAGCCCGAGCACTGTAGGACAGCAGGAGCACAGTAGGACAGCGGGAGCACTGTAGGACAGCAGGAGTCCCAGCACTGTAGGACAGCAGGAGCACTGTAGGACAGCAGGAGCACTGTAGGACAGCAGGAGCAGGAGCACTGTAGGACAGCAGGAGCACTGTAGGACAGCAGGAGCACTGTAGGACAGCAGGAGCAGGAGCACTGTAGGACATCAGGAGCACTGTAGGACAGCAGGAGCACTGTAGGACAGCAGGAGCAGGAGCACTGTAGGACAGCAGGAGCACTGTAGGACAGCAGGAGCACTGTAGGACAGCAGGAGCACCAGCACTGTAGGACAGCAGGAGCAGGAGCAGGCGGGAAGCAGGATGGGGCAGAGCCCGAGCAGGAGTGAGGAAGGCACTGGGGGTGAGGGCACCCGGCTAAGCCACCTAGAGGGCTCTTGCTGAGGCTTGCCAGTGTGACGAGGCCCCACATGGTGGGGAGCCGTGAGGAGCGAGATCAGGTATGAAGGAAGGACAGGTACGGAGGGGATAAGGTGTGGGGGAATCAGGTATGGAGGAGGTCAGGTATGAATGGATGGTGCATTGAGGGGGACCAGGATGGAGGGGGACCAGGGTGGAGGGGGACCAGGATGGAGGGGGACCAGGGTGGAGGGGGACCAGGATGGAGGGGGACCAGGATGGAGGGGTCCAGGATGGAGGGGTCCAGGATGGAGGGGACCAGGATGGAGGGAGCTGCCAGAGCTAAGCATCGTGCCAGGTCTTGGGGACCTGTTGGGGGCTGATACTGGTGGAAAGGCTGGTGGAGCCTGGCTGGAGCTGGGTTCAGGGGCTTCTCTGCCAGTCCCTGTCTGTGCTGCGGAGGCCAGTGCACCTGGTTCACTCCTGTCCAGCACTCCCTTGCCTTCCCCTCACCAGCTCTTCTTGCTTCCTGTTTCTGCTGACTCCTGCCTTCCCACTCAGGCTGGGAAGAGAGCCTGTGCCTCTGCGGGGGTCCTGACCTTTAGGGGTGTCTGCTGTGACTGGCGGGGGCAGGTACCAAGCTGTATTTAATCATTGCTTTAAGCAGAAAAGTGACGTCCCTTCTCAAGCAGGAGGAACGTCACCCAGGGATGTTTGCAGCATTCACACTGGACACTGGGCACAACGTGGAGCAGAGTGGAGTAGAGTTCAGATCAAGCTGGCTGATGGCTGACGGGAGATCACAGCTCAGTCATCCACACGCCCAGGGGTCCTCCACGCCCTGCATTTTGAACCAACCTGCAAATATTTGGGAAATTTGGGGAAAGGAAACTTCTAAGACTGGCTTCTCTCTCAGTCTTCTTATCCCCATCGTTACGTTTTAGTAGGTGAAATACTAATGTTCTTCAGGAAAAGAGCAACAGAGAAGCCCACAAATTATAGCTCATCTCAGCTGTTCATTCCGAAGTGCTGAGCACACACCATCTGATCCGAGCTGATCGCAGGGTGTGGATGTGTTCTCCACCCCTCCCTGGGCTGGCACGGAGCTCCCCTCCGCCCAGGATGACATTTGCTCCTATGAATAGTCTTTGGCTACTGCAGCTGAATTTTTAAAGTGCCAAAGCAGCTCACCCTTTGGTACTCTTCGGATCTGAACTTGTGATTGACACTCTTTTATGTGCTCGTGAGTGTTCTCTAAGGACCCACACTGGCTTGAACGGAGACCCATTTCTTCACAGGGGCCCATGTGGTTCTTATATTTTGTGGGTGTTTAGGAGAACCTGCCTCTCCATTAGCAACGCCACCATTGCCCACTCCTTGCAGAATGTTTTTAGGACCAAAATTTTCTTGTACTTGATTTTTGGACTTTGGCATTTAGATTGTGATTTGAGTTAAATTTTAAGTCCAGTGTCCGTACCTCTTAGCACCTGAGGGCACTGGGCCTTGTCTACCCACAAGGGATTTACTGCCCATCTGGAAACACGAAGTAGCCTTAGTTTCTTAATTGCTGTTGTGTTGGGGACGCTTTGAACTGAGACCCTGGGAGGCAAAGTGCCCTGTGGAAGTTTCTAAAATTTGAGACCAAAGAAAACTCTCTCGATTCTGGGACTCTGTCCAAGTAGAAAATAAAACCCTTGCAAGTTCCTGCATCATGAAGTCAGGGCTGGAATTAGACCCCAGGCTTGCTGAGCACTGTCTCTGGTGTGGCCTGGGGAGGAGCAGAAGGCTGGGTCCTACTGAGGTAATGGGTGGGATCAACTCTTGCCTCTTCAGGTTAGCTGCAGACAGAGTCTGGCTGGGCCCCTCCCCCTCCTGGCCTCCTGGCCTCCCTGCTGCCTCCCACCTCTGCCCCAGGCACTGTGCTTCCGCAGCCCTGAACAGTACCAGCCGTGGACACACCCCTTTGTGCCCTCTCCTCGTACATGTGTGCTGTCTGGGACTTGTCCACTTCTACTGCAGTATGTTTTCTGCTCTGTGAAACGTTCACTGGAGAGACCTGTGGAAAGAGTGAGAGGCACAGGAGCAGGTGGAGGTCCTCGCCTGTGGAGCCCTTCCTGGGAGTCCCCAGCTCTGGGGACCACTGCCATAAGTCAGTGGGTCTTGGTCACTTTACAGCCCACAGGCTCTCCTAAAAACCAGACGGAAGCCTGGACCTGCCCTGGGCGCGCCCCAGCCTGGAAGGTGCAAGCGCTGGGCACAGGGCTCTCTCCGCTTCCTGTGTCCTGCCCTGGGTGTGAGCACGAAGTGCTAATGGGTTACTTGACAGCTAATTGGTGCTAATGCGCTAGGTGGCTCTGGCCACCCTGTGCCTCCAGTCTGTCTGTGAGGACAAACTGGGAGCCCAGGGACAGGCTGCTGCCTCGGCCTCTTAGGCTCAGCCTGCTGCTCCCCTCCTTCCCGCAGGCTCCGCTGGACTCCATGTGTTCTATGTCCCTCCCGTTCCTCGAGCTCCTCCCTGCTCAGGAAAAGGAGGCAGCCACCATCCAGATCAGAACACAGAGAAGCTGTGTGTTCTGTAGGAAGGTGAGGGCCAGCAGGGCCCGTGTGGCGCAGAGCGTGCAGGGGACCTTTCCTGAGCTTCCGGTCCTGGTCCTGGAGTTCAGCTGAGACATCTTAATTGATGACATGTAGGCAACATTGTCTCCTAAATCACAAGGTTTTCCAAGTACTTTGTTTATCCAGTCATAGAGTTCCTCTCGGGAAGCGGGAAGCGTAGGTGCTGGATACATACATTCTAAGGGTTTATAGTATGCACGGTTTTTCATGATAGAGTGAACCGACGAGAATCATCAGTCAGGGTCATTACCCTTCCATTAAGCACAGAGTTGAAGCACAACTTGTGGCTGATGAACTCAAGTCTCATCCTCTACCTCCTGTGGGATCTGATGGCCCAACATAGAATAAAACTCTGATTCATAAGGATAGATAGTTGCAAAAGGAAGCAAGATTTACCCGGAAGTCTCAGGACATGATTCAGGTAGTAGGAACTCTCCCCAAGGCCCAAGCACATCAGATTTGACTGTCATGCAAAATTCATGCTATTGCCCTTTGTCATGTACTGAGGATATGCTGGGCCTGAGCACAGGCTTTTACTACAGGCTTAAGAATCGCTAAAATACGTAATGAATAGGATGTTTTCAGCACAAGATTCAATTTGAAAACCCTGGAGTGCAATTTGGAGACCACCTTACTGACCGTGGCCCAAGGGTGTTGACAGGTAGAGACGCTGGTGAGATTTCTGGTGACTGATTCCAGTCTCTGGGCCATCATCTGCCTGCTCCCTGAGGTCCAGACAGATCCTCTCTTCCCTTGGCCGTCGGGAGCCAGGGTTTGCCCTGTTGACTGGCCACTCCTGGACATCTTGCGTGGGGCTGCCCCGTTGGCTCTGCTGTGGGGCTGGGTGGTTGTACTGGGCTTCTGGCTCCTCCTTTCCAAGGCTTGGCCTGTCCCTGTGTGACCCCCACATGGGCTTCAGTTCAGGGGGTTTTGATTGGGCCGTTGGTGCAGGACGCTTTGCCTCTTGGCCAGGTGCTCTGACCCCGAACACTTCCAGCCAGGTCTGTGGATGGGTCTCTGCTTTTTCTCTGTCTGTCGAGTTATTGCTAGCAGGGGTGGGATTGGAGAAAGGCTTAGGGCTTATCCCAGAAGGGCGTATTTCTATTTGGAGAATGCACTTAGGAAATTACAATGCTGTTTGAAAGAAGTACACAAACAGTGAGTGAATATGGATAAGGAGAGTAGTGACCCGCAGCCCAGCCCAGGTGTGCTCGGGCGGTCCTGGTGGGCGTGAGCATGTGCACTCCCCAGGCAGAGCCACCTAGGACGTGGGAAAGGCATCCACACGAGGACGGGACTTGTGTGCTGGCACCACACTGTAGCTGTGTGCCGGGCAGCACATTGGGAGGTGCAAGGGCAGAGTGGTTCCTAAGCAGCTGACACCAGAATCCTGGTTGAGCATGGCTCTGCAGTGGGCCTGTGGCTACAAGGTGAGCCAGAAACATGCACTCAGTCTCAGCTTGATTTCTCCCTTGAGCAATGGCACTTAAGGGAGCCAGGGGGCACAGCAGACTGAACGGAAGCTCAGGAGGAAGGGAAGGAGTACCGGAAGGGGGCCAGGCCTCCGAACCATCCCTCCCCTTCATGGGAGGTGGTGTATTGTCTGTTCAAAGAAAATATTTCTAGCTCCTAGATGAAGAGAGAAGAAAATAAAATTATTAATGACCCAGGGATGGGTTGTCATGTGGGCATCGGCTTCTTAATGCACTTTAAATTCAGACTCTGGTAAATTCTTCTTTTTTCAACAGTGTGATTTTTGGGGTGTGGTTTCTTTTCTAGATGAAGATCTTACCACGGGTCTGGGAGGGAAAGTGCTCCAAGAGTGCAATGTCTGGGGTCTGTGGACCTCATTTCCCCAAGTCTTCCAAAGATTTGGGGAAAGATTCCTTCTCCCACAGGAGTGGGACAGTAGCACCTGTTTTCCAGGGTCCCTGAGAGGGTCCCTGTGACGTCACTAGCCGAGGGCCTGGACAGGGAAACCCCAGGTAGAACTGCTGCTCACACCCCCTGCTGCGACTCGGGTGGGGGGCGGTCTCAGCGGGACCGAGCTGGGCCTCTGCAGGACAGCTGGGGTTGTGTGGAAGTGCCGGCCCGAGGCCTGGGGCTCTGCGATTTTCAGGTCATGGTCTTCCCAGGTTCCCAGGGGTGGACATGCCTCAGGTAGGGTCCAGCTCAGGCTTTTTGTTTTAGACGTTGATGGACCTTTATTCTATTTATTTATGTGCGGTGCTGAGGACCAACCCCCGGGCCTCACACGTGCCAGGGAGGCGCTCCACCACTGAGCCCCAGCCCAGCCCTCCAGCTCAGGCTTTTTAATATGTCCTGATGGAGGAATTTGCATGTGGGGGACCGTTTTGTTCGAGGTCCTGGGCATGACCCCCTAGGAACTGGAAATCCTGTTGAGGGGCGAGGTTGGGTTACGGCGTATGTTTTGCTGTCTAGCAGGGCGTTGCCCACTTGGGAGGTCAGTGGGTCTCTGCACACGTCTGGAACCCCCTTGCTTGTGCCGGACAAAACTCTGGTCCCTCTGGGCCTCCCTCAGTTCTCGTGCACCTATGCCGGCTGTCATCCTGGAGGGTTAGGGACGGTGCCAAGTGCAGGCACTGTCTGTCATGGTGGAGGTCATCAGGACCCGGAGACGGGGCTCCCTGTGCAAGTTCCTAGGCTCCCTGGACCCTCTTGTCATGGCTCCCAGGCCGGTGGCCCCGGCCATGCTGACCAGGGGCCTGGCTTTCCCTGCCGGAGTCCTTGCTCTCGGCAGAGCGGGGGCAGGCCCCGGTCTTGCCCCTTTAGTCCCCGCCCAGTGATTCTGCTGGAGGTGGGGGTCCAGGAGCCTGAGTGCCTGAGCAGAGTCGTAGGCCCAGGCGGAAGGGGCTTCCCAGGGTGAAACCAAGGCTCCCAACACCTGCGTCCTCTCTTTCTCAGTCAAAGCCCAGCTGTGGTCTGGGATCAGATGTTCTTCTGTCTATAATTAATTCCGCTGCCGTCCGCCGCCCCACAGTAGCGCTGGCATTGTTCTTGAACACACGCTCAGGAGCAGCCTATCTAGGTCACGGGGTTTGCTTTCGAGGGATGTCTTTGTTCAAGTTCAGGTCACCGGCTTTTCCAGAGCAGCTCCACAGACTCGCTTTTTCTATTCAAGGGTGGACTTTGATGACACTGCGACATACTCGGCAGTGGCCACCAATGGGCACGGTCAGGTGTCAACCAACGCTGCGGTGGTGGTGAGAAGTGCGTGCCCAACCCGGGGGGCGGCCAGCCTGGGCCCTGCTGGTCTCTTTCTTTGCCATGTTTACCTGATTGTCCTGCAGGGTTCCGAGGCGACGAGGAGCCACTCTACTCCGTGGGACTCCCAATCGGACGTGAGTGGGGCTGGGGTCTGGGAACACGTGTGCAGACAGCGTCCAAGGGAGAACTTGTTGCTAAGTCAGGTCAAATCTTAGTTTTGAAGTTATATTTTGTTAGACTCCTAGGTTTAAAACATATACAGTTGGTTTTCCTTGCACCCCTTACACCCCTGCCAAACGTACCTTTGAGATCTGGTCTGCCGACACTGCTGCGTCTAGTTGATTCGTTTGACGCACTAAAAATGACACTATTGATGAATGACCACTGTTCATTTTGAAACTAAGGAGCGACTTCTGAGGCCTCAGTTGGGTATGAGGTAGGGAGTCGGCCCTGTGCTTAAGTCCAAGACTCAGGTCCGAGCTGTGCCTGAGTGACCGGATCTGACTCAGGGATGCTCGTCTGCCTCCGACCTGGCTCAGCTCGGCTGCTCTAACAGTCCTGTGGCTTATGTGACTGAACAACAGATGCTAATTTCTCAGGGTTTTGGAGGCAGCAAGCCCAGGGCTAGGGCACTGGCAGGATGGGTTCCGGCAAGGGCCACCTCCTGGTTTGCAGATGGCATGTCCTTGCTGTGCCCACACCTGCAGAGACCAGTCCTCAGGACCTCACTCAGCCCTGCTCACCTCCAGAGCCGCTGTCTGCTAACCTGTGGGGGCTGGGCTGCAGCCTACGAATGTGCTGGACACACGTTTGGGCCGGCAGGGCTCCCGAGAGGGGGCACAGTTTGAGGTGGAGCTCTCTGCTGTGGTCAGGGCACCTCTGAGCGGAAGCCACCACGGCACTAACTGTCCCACTTGTTCCTGCAGTGCCCCTGTCCTCGGTGATCCCGTACACACACTTCGATGTTCAGTTCTTGGAGAAATTTGGAGTTACCTTCCGAAGAGAGGGTGAGACGCTCACGCTCAAGTGCACGCTGCTGGTGACTCCAGACCTGAAGAGGGTGCAGCCACGGGCCGAGTGGTACAGGGACGGTGAGTGTCTGGCCGCCCGCGCTGAGAGTGCTGGGCAGCAGTGACCCTTGATGCTTGCTTGCATGGGTCGGCCTTCCCCCTGCCACAGGGCTTGCTGTGGTGGCAAAGCCACGCCAGGGACGGGGGGGGGGGGGCTTGGGCAGCCGACACTGACCTTGAACTTCATCTGGGAGAACCCTGGAGAGGTAGTGAGGAGCTTCCCGAATCCAGACGTGTCTGTGTGGTGTCCACAGCCCCATGCAAGGGCTGCCCACACTGAACCCAGAGGAGTCGTCCACACATGCCCCGCCCACCATGGCTGGCCACTGTCAGGGCGAACTGTGAGCTGGCATGGCTCTCTGTGTGTTGAGGGACAGCCAGGTGGCTCTGTTTGTAGAGGAGGGGATGCCGTGACACCTGGCCAGCTTCCTCACTGGTGAGACACCCAAGACCATCCAGTGTGACCAGCCTGGGGGGCTGTGGCCATCCATGGAGGCACCAAGGCTGTTCAAGGCCCGGATCCAGCCAGGTCTGCTGAGGTCCTATCCAGTGTCTTATGGTTGCTGCAGGCCTGCGACCACGGGAAGGCCTTCCCCGACAGGAAGCAGGCTCCAGGAGGCCTGCGGGAGGAGCCCTGGGAGTCCTGGGAGCCCGTTTCAGGCCGTGCTGCAGGCTGGTGCAGGACCCTGCCCACACGCTCAGTGTCTGGCAGGCCCTTGCCCTGACTAGACGGTGCCTTCCCGCCAAGCCCTCATGGGGGCTCTGGCTCTTCTCTTGGGCACTGTCATAGGCCCCCACTGCATGGTCTCACCCAGCCTACGCACCCAAAGGCCGCCTCCTAACACCACCACATGGGGTTAGGATCTCAACTTGACTTTTGGGCGGACCTAGGTCAGTCCCTAAGACAGTCCTTTTTTCCTCCCCAATTTTATTTATTTATTTATTTGCTCCTTTTAGTTATACATGATACTAGAATATTTTGACATACTGTACATACATGGAACATGACTTCCCGTTCTTGTGGTTGTAGGATGTGGAGTTACACCACTCAGGTATTCATATGCAAACATAGGAAAGTTACGTCCAATTCATTCTACTGTGTTTCCCATTCACATCCCCCTTTCCTTCCCCCCACCCCCCCCCGTCCAATCCCATGAACCAACACTTCCCCCACCCCAATTTGGCCTTTGTTTTTTTTGGATTGGCTTATTTCATTTAGCATGATAGTCTCTAGTTCCATCCATTTACTGGCAAATGCCATAATTTCATTCATCTTTATGGCTGAGTAATATTCCATTGTGTCTATGAGCCACATGTTCTTTGTCCATTCATCTATTGAAGGGCACCTAGGTGGGGTCCATAGCTTCACTATTGTGAATTGAGCTGCTGTAAACATTGATATCCTAAATGTGGTCTTAGTTCAGAAATCCGTATCAAGGCTGGTTCTCCGCTGGTGTTTTCTGGCCTGTCATCTGTTGGACACTCGCAGCCACTGCTCATGGCCTTAGAGGGAATCCCTGCTTAGACAATGGGATTCTGGGCTTAGTAGGGCCCTCCTGGGCTGCTGGCCAGGCGGCCTGGGTTCTCTCGAGCACGGACACCCCTTCCTGCTATGTCTAGCACTTTGGTGGACATCCCTATGACTGTCAGGCAATGCCACTCGATTGCCTGCATCCTCCAGGTCTGCCCCAGGCTAGGCGAGGCAGATACAGGGCGGCCGAGGGTGCTCTGCACGCAGGCCGGGGTGTGGCCAGCTGCGGGGCTCACATGCCCCGTCTGCGCTCTGGCCCACCGGAGCACCATCCAGTAGGCGCTCCTGAGTACCTGCTGGGTGCCGGAGGATGCGGGTGGGAGCCGGCTGTGTGCTGAGAAGCAGGACCCACAGGGAGCCTGGCTGGAGAGGGTGTGCTCAGGTCTTGGCTGTGAGGGCCTCTGCTTCCCCCAGCAGCTCTTCCCACTGCGCTTCTCTGCGCATGTGCTGTGCATGTGACTGGACTGTCCTGCCTCTGGGAGATGTCTCCAGCAGCCACTTGGTGTTCCTGTGCGTCGCTGGGTGGCTTCCGAGCCAACCTGAACTGGATGCTCTTTCAGATGTGCTGCTGAAAGAGTCAAAGTGGACCAAGATGTTCTTTGGAGAAGGCCAGGCGTCGCTGTCCTTCAGCCACCTGAACAAGGACGACGAGGGCCTGTACACCCTGAGAATTGTGTCCCGAGGCGGAGTCAGCGACCACAGCGCCTTCCTGTTCGTCAGAGGTGGGGCTGGGGCACGGCCTAAGCCTGCAGAGAAGGTGGCCCCACAGCGAGAGGGTCCGAGCAGGGGTGTGGAGGGGCGAGGAGGTGGCTTTCCTTGCAGACCTCCCTGACACAAGGCAGACACTGCCCGGGCCCGCTGGTCAGCTGCCCTGAGAGAGGAGGCCACGTAAGTCAGAAGAGATGTGGCGTGGCCTCCCACCCATCCCCATCTTCACCAGGGGTGGAGGGACCCTCGGAGTTAGTTTGGAGCGAGAGACGTGTCCAGCCTGGGGAAACCAGTCAGGCCCCCCTTCCCTGCCAGCTCACAGAGACGGGGACAAGGAGCACTGCAGTTCCCACGGCCCAACTTCAGCTGGACCCATGTCTAGGACATCCCAGCACAATGACGAGGAATCCCCGAAGCTCCGGGTCAGGCAGGGTCCTGGTGCATGTAACTCCCATAGTGGGTCAGGGCAGGGCTCTGAATCCTGTTTGTGGAAAGAAAAACAAGATTCAGGATGTGCCAGGCTCAGTATCGGCATTATACATGTGTTACCCCCATGCATTTATGACACAATGTGTGACGGGAGCGTGTGTCGGGTAACAGCACTCACAACACGTAGTACGTGACGTAATAACACATGCATAAAGTGTGCGCAGAACACATCACACTCCTCCAAGGCTCGAGGCACGGGGACCAGCCTTAATCATGCCGCAGCTGGAGACCAGTTCCCTCTGTGAAGCCACAGGCTCTGAACTCAGAAGGGGCTGTGTCCTTCCTCAGCATCTGCCCGTGGCCTCCCCTGCACCGCCCCGCTGCCGTCTGCAGGCTCCCGAGAGGCACAGTGGCTGCTGCCCAGTTATCCATCCTGATTGGCAGGCCTTACCTGGGCTCAGGGTTCATCACATCATGTGACGTCATCGTCATGGCACATGAGCAGGGCTGCAGCCCAGGTGTGGGGACCTGAGAGGCAGTCGGTGTGCTGTTTGTCCATGTGGCCGCCTTTGGGCCAGTGTTTAAGGGAGGGCTCCTTCATTAGAGAACAGCTCAACACCAGGACACCGACCTCACCTTCCGCACTTCCCCCAGACCGTGAGGGTTGGCAAGGCGGCGACCTTAGACCCTTCAAGGTTTGGCAGGCTTTATTAGGATGGCATTAAATGTACCTGCATTCTCTTGCATTCTTCTGGAAAGATATTTCACCCCGTGACAGTGTGCTGGTGCGACCCAGCTTGGACTGCCTTGCTTATCCAGCAGGAGGGGAACGTGCCCACGTGGGCACTTCACCCGCGGGTGACTTCTCGAGACAAACGTGAGGGAAAGTGTGGGCCAATGTCCAGAAGCCCTCAGCTCTTCAGATGCTGGGGAGAGCGTGTGGGCAGCCGTGAGCTTACACTGCTGCACGCGCTCCAGCCATGCCCGCCCTAAGCCCACCTCCAGACGAGGAAACGAGGTGCTCAGAGTGTAGCTGCCAACACCTCTGCTCCCTCAGCACAGCCAGCGTTAACACCTGAAGACAAGACCTAACTGCATTACGGCTGTAATGAGTCTGTAAAAAGAACAGGTCGAGTAGTGACCCAGACTTTTGCTCACAACTTCCAGAAAAAAAAGTGTCTCCCAATTTTAGGGATTTTGAAATATGAACGTGTCTAAGGCAATATTTCTCAGGCATTAAAGTGCTGACTCATCAGATCTTTGACAACGTGCCATTACGTGACCACATGACACTAAGAAAAGGTGAACCTTAACCTCAGATCCAATCAAAAAGTCACAGACTTGAGAGTCTTGCAGAGGGCTCAGTGTTCCGAGTTTTACAACAACTCCTAAGTGAGTTGTAGTTCTTGGCACTGACCCGCCAGAGGATGGACGGGTCTGAGTGACCGAGACGGAGATGGCAGGTGGTCTAGCCCAGCAGGCAGATCTGAGTTTGGAGGAGCAGGGACCAGGCTTGCAGTGACCCTGACTTTAAGTGACAGTGATCATGTCTTCCCACTCAGACGCTGACCCGCTGGTCACAGGGGCTCCAGGGGCACCCATGGACTTGCAGTGTCATGATGCAAACCGAGACTATGTCATCGTCACGTGGAAGCCACCCAACACCACCACCGAAAGCCCTGTCCTCGGCTACTTCATTGACCGGTGAGTGGGCTCGGCTTTCTTCCTGTGACGGAAGCGCCTGAAATGAACGTCAGCCCAGACGGCGAATTCGGGTACATTTACAAAGGCAAGCCTCTGGTGCTCTTCCTGACTGGCTCGGGAACATCACTCCTTGGGCATCTAACGCTCTTGACTAGGTGGTTGGGAAATATCGCCTCCTGGTCTGAGCCCAGGGTAAGCCCAAGGCCACTTTGTGTTGATATTGGAGCCTTGTTGGCCGGTGGCACCCAGTAACAAATACGGGCATGCTCCACCCTGGAAGGCCATGTGCTGAGTGTCCCCCTGGGCCTAGGGCAGAAGGGGCGCCCATGTGGCAGGCGATGCTCGGCCCCCACCCTGAGTGTCAGCGCGGCAGGAGCCACACCAGGTCACAGTCTCCACAGCTCTGGCTTGTTCTATTGAGTAAGAAGGGTTTCTGTGCTTTCCAGGTTTAGCTCAAAGGATAAATACTGGATTTGTCTTTGTATTAATAACTTAAATTTAGACCATCATTAGATCCCCTGGGGTTTTAGCTCTTTGATTTTCCTTTATTGGGTTTAATCCTCAGAGCCTGGGAGGAGTACTGAGCTGGCCCAGTGCATTTGTTAGATGGGGAGTCCTTGGTCATACGTTTCAGCCATTGGAAGAGATGGCTATTACAGAAAGTGAATTTAGAAGGGGGGCAGAAGGGGCAAACTCTGGGGCTACAAGGGGGGGTTCTGGCAGGGATTTAAGATACTATGGATATGACAGTAAAATTGGTGGTTTTTCGGGAAAGAAATCAGTTGGTGTGACTTTTTGGCTTAGGCGGATGGGCTTCTCTTCTCCAGCCCAGTGAAGGCCCCTGTTTAGCTAGGCATCCACCATCCAGAGACCTGGGAGCAGGCCGCAGACCTGAAGAGTGCCGTGTTCAGGGCTTCCCTGAATCAACAAGCCAGCCACCCCTGGGACGTCTGTGTTTCCACCCATGCCGTCACATTCCTTCACGCACCTCTCAGTCAACAATCCACGCTCCTCCCCCCACTGACACCTATCCAGAGCCACAGAAGGCACGTCCTTCCGGCGGTCTCCACCATGGACCTGCTGGCTGGGTTCTGAGTCAGTCTCCTGCAGACCCCCAGGGCTGACCATGCAGGACTCTGGCTGGCACAGGCCAGGGTGCATGGATCGGAGAACCTTCTGTCTGACATGAATGCACCCTCAGGCTGACGTTCTCGTGGGCATTTAACGGGAAGCTTTTATACTTAGATTTCTCGACCACTGAGAAATGGGGGCTAATCTTTCCTGCATTCCAGCTCTGGTCAGAACTTATTTCCAGGTATTTCTGGACAGAAATATCTTAATGTTATTCGGTGTACTGCAAGTCAGCGTCCTGGGAGAGTCTGTCCCCTGGCTCAGGTGGAGAAGGTGCATGTGGGGGCACTGAGGGAAAGGGGCTACTTTGGCATGTAAATTGGGAAAAAAACTATGGAGGTTAGAGCTGCAATAACTGCTTGCGGCTGATCTCACGCTGTAAAGTATGAAGACTCAGTAACTTTTCCATCTTCTGTCTATCTGCATATGATACCTATCTGCTGTAGGAGGTATTTATAAAGAGGTAGAGAAAGATACTGTGTTTCCCGAGTAGCGCTGTCTTCCAGTTTGTTATTCTTCTGTTTGTGGAAATCCGTATTTTCATGGCATGACTTTTGCCCTGTGGGAATCTCCAGGAACAACTGAAATGTGTGGCTTCGCCTGTGAATATTTGGTAGTTGGCTGTGCGTGTTGTTTTCTACTTTCCCCCTGTTTTTATTTGAAGATGCGAAGTGGGAACTAACAACTGGGTTCAGTGCAACGACGCCCCAGTGAAGATCTGCAAGTACCCCGTGTCGGGACTTTTTGAAGGACGGTCTTACGTGTTCCGCGTGAGGGCCGTCAACAGCGCAGGCGTCAGCAGACCTTCCCGGGTCTCCGACGCTGTGGCTGCCCTTGACCCCGCTGACCTCAGAAGGTTACAAGGTAGGCTGGGGACATTTAAGTTAAAGGACGACTGGGTGATTTGTCCTTCCCCTTGGACTTCCATGTGTGAGCCTCAGGAATGCTGTGAGAGCCGAGCATTCTGGGCTGTACTCCCATCCCCATGTCTCTGTCAGGGTCCTGCAGAAGGCGGACAGCCAGGCTGACATCTACACTTTCTAACCAGTGCTTCCTGTTCATGGAGCTCTGTCCTGGAATCCCTTCTCAGTCCACAGATGACATAATCACAGCACATAACGAGGGCACGGGGCCTTGAAGCCAAACTGCCCTGAATCTGCGTCTTCACTTCATGTAATACAGGTTCCTCTCCTTAACGGCATTGGACCCTTAATTGTGGCTTTAATCAAGCCAGGGTACTTTCCTTACCTGCCAGGTTCTTTGGGTCCACTGTGAGGAGCTGAGAGGTGCTAAAATGGCCAGGAACCTTCCAGAACACCGTCTCCGCCTATTCCCGGGGACTGGCTGTGTTGCAGGCAGATGCAGAGTGGCTCGAACCTTGCTGTGCATCAGGCCTGCCGACTCTTTTAGGCACCCTTGGGTGCCAGCTCAGCATCACCTTTTCTCTCTGCAGCGATTCACCTGGAGGGAGAGAAAGAGATGGTGATCTACAAGGACGACCTTGAAGGTGAGCAACTCTGGGGCACTCGGTTTCCGCTGTGCCTGCTCCGTGGTTTAGGATGCTGCTTAGTGATATGAGAGGACAAGACGTTCGCACAACGGGCGCAGTCTTTCCAAGTGGGAAGGAAACTGCAGTTGAGTCTGCAGGCTTAAGAACCACAGATGTTAAACAGGCAAGTGAGGCAGAATGAGGAGCAAGGGGTGAGGCCGCAGTGACCTGTCCAGCTGGGCTCTCAGAGCATGCTTCTGGGGACCACGAAGGGAGAGCAAACTGAGCCTGAGGTTCGACGGCACTGGCCTGGGTCAGTCTAAGAACTGGGTCCTGTCCTAGAACACTGTTAATAGAAGTGTTCTATTCACCTTTTTTTAAAGCAAAAATTTCATTCCTAACATTTAAACTCAAATGGGCTGAGTCTTTTCTGTGGAATGATGTTCTGGTTGGAAAGTTCCTGTCTTTCCTTATATTTAATATTCTGAGCACTTCTCATTGATAACCTTCTCAGAGGCAGCTAGAAAAAGTAGCTAAGGAGATTCCAGTGTTAGTGATCATATCACAGAGCACAGGAGGTGAGACTCTGGATCAACCTGGAGCCACTGGCCCAGAGAGGTACTTCTTAGAGCTTCTTTATCAACTCTGTGTTGGAAGAGCTTCTTCCCTGAGACAGCCGCACATCTGGGTTTTGCTGATTCGCTTCCGTGTTTGACGTGTGCAGCCCCCACAGTGTGCATGCTTTGTTTCTTATGCCTGGGAAAGATTCCTTTCTAGGGCCCAGGGTGAAGGTGTGTCTCGGCTGCCCACAAGGGAAGTTAGGTGCTGAGGAATGCCCTTGAGGGCTGTGCACAGGTGCCGAGGCAGCACCCGAGCCCTGGGACACCTCCACTCCAGGACCTTAGACACCAGCAGGGGTGCTCCATAAATAGGAACAGAAGGCAGTGTCCTGCGCAGGCTGACTCCCAACTCCCAGTCTCCTTCCCCCAGCCAGCACCGCGCCCAGTGCACAGTCACACTCTACCTTGCTTTGGTGGTTAGAATATAGAGGCTTGCATGATGGAGAAATGACTCCGGGCTATACTGGAGAGATTTCCTTGCCGCAGGCCAGCCTTGCAGGACAAGGGGTTCTGGTGTGCCCAAGGAAGGGCAGTTCTACCTCAGGGGAGATGGGGTCAGTGGAGAGATGCAGTCTGCCCACCAGGGCGGACACCTAGGAATTCAGACAACACAGCACAGGGAGAAGGTGTGACTTGCTTCGTACACGTCACTAATATGATGAAATCCTCTCTGCGTAAAGGTCCTTGTGATGAGCAGTGGAGACAGGAAGTGACACAGATTGACAAGTCTTTTGGGGGCAGGGACCTTTCTAGCTATGCCTCTTGGTGGAACAACTCTTACCTGTGGACGCTAAGTGCTGGTGTGCAAGGTGGGGCCAGCTCTCAGAGGCCGGCGTGCCTGGAGCAAAGCTTCAAGGACAGCTTCTCCTGTGCGGTGGGTGGGCAGCTCCTGGGCTGCCCTCCTGCTCTGCGAACTCCTGGGTGGGGTGGTGCTTTGTCCATGCCCTGGAGACATTTCCAAGGCTCTGTTTACACAGCCGGCCATGGAGGCAGAGGCCAGGACCCTTAGATGAGGGCTGACCTCCTGGGACATTGACACTGGCCGCAGTTCAGCCTCGCAGGGAAGGGGCTTTGCAAGCCCAGGACAGGGAACAGGCGGCTGCCGTGGTCTGAAGCCAGCCAGGTCGAAGGCTCTGGCTTGGCCATAGGAGCTGGAACACTTGTCTGCTCCCCGTGGTCACCTAAACAAGGGTGCCTCCCCTAACTAAAAGGTCCTCAGCGAGGAGGAAGCTCTACAGTGTTTCTAAGCAACTCGCCTGGGTCCGAGCATTTGCTGCCAGGGAGCTCCTTTTTCTACTCTTGTCTTTCCTTCACATAAGCTGATTTTTAAAACATGGCAGTAGCCATTCCCTTTAGTGAGGTCCCTCTGTTGGCGGAGAATGGCTGCCTGGCTGCTGTGGGCTGCTCCCTGATCATTTTGGTCTCAGTTGGTCGGTATCTCCTTCAGCCTGAGGTTAGAATGAACGCTCCTTCCTTGATGTCGTCCACCTTGTCCAGTATTTCTTCAACTGCCCTTTGGGAAGGCCAGGGCTGGCTCCTACAGAAGGAAGTGAGATTGTCTGTGTTCTACTAATGGGCTTCCAAGCGTCCAGTGATCTGCCCTGGACTCGGCTGTGTGAAGCTCAAGTGCCTGCCAGCAGTTCACTCTGGGTTCTGCCATTGGCCTTCCTGGCTGGGCGTCCTCTTGAATTCTGGGTTCTACAGATGCCAGCTCAACTCAGGTTTCTGTGGCTGAGAAATGTCTCCTAGGTGGTCATGGTGTGCTCAGGTTAATGGAACAAAACTCGAAGACCCAGGCTTGGAGTCCAGTTCAGCGATGGTGGTTGTGGGCTCTGGAAAGATCCGGGCTCCATTTCTGCATTCTGACGTTGAACGTACGCTGACTCCTGTCTGAAATCCACTGTAATCTTGCTCCACGTCTAAGATGATGGCTGTGGAGGCTTTTCTAAGCAGCACCTGGATGAAACCTATATGCATACACACACGTATAATGCATGTATACACACACGTGTAGTAATGCACACATAGTGGTAGATATGTACGTGTGTAAATAAGTGTTTATATACATATGGGTATACATTCATATATATATATATATATATTTAGTTTGCAAAACCACTTTCCCCTGAAAGCACAATCCCAGCGAGTGGGAGTAGCTAAGCAAGCTATGTCTTCTCCCACTCTCTCCTGTACTGCCCTGGGGCGCTGGACGGGGCTCCAGGGAGGCCTTCTGAGAGGAAGCAGAGGCCAAGGGCAGCGTCATGAATTGCTGCTGGGAGGCATGTGCTTTTGCCTCCCTGGGTGACACAGAACGTCTTCCTGACTCAGGAGTCTCACCCCGCAGGGGCCTCCTGCTCACCAGGACTGGGTTCTTTTTCCCTGTCTTGGAGTCAGACAAGGCATTTCTCATTCCACTTCCTCTGGCTCTGGCTCTGCCTCTGCCCCCACACCCGCTGGTCAGCTTTGTCTTCCCCTCTGTTCTTGGGAGCTGCTGAAACTCCCGAGGTTTAGCTTTGGGAGCTCAGCGTGGGGTTCCTGTGTCTCCCCCCTAGCTGAGTGTGGACATGTGTGGGTTTAGGGAGGCCACCCAGGGCCCTGGGCTGTCCCCCACTCCACTCCTCTGCCTCTGCTGCTGCACTCTCCTGGGACACGCCGACTCCTATTTGAAATTCAACCCACTCACCAGAATGATCCTAGATCAGACCTGCGCTCGGTCTACAGTGCACTGTGCTCATGAAATGAAACCCAATCTTGTTTTGTGCTGTTTCCATGTGGCTGTTCAATTCCTCGCCTGCAGCCGGGTCCCAGGGGAGCAACTGGATATTGTGAAGGGCACAGAGAGGTCCTGGGGACAGTTCAACCATTCTAATTATGTGCTAATCTAATTGGAAGCTCACAAGATTTTATTTCACAATTAAAGGGGCCACAAGTCTGGAAAACCTCCACCCTTCAAGAATCTCTTATAAATTCCAGTATAGATCTGTAACACCTCACCTCGTTTTTAAAAAGATGACATCAGAAGGGAGGCGTGCCGATGTCTCTGGTTGCAAATACTCTGTCCTGGTCACCTGCTTATTAATGTCCCTGCAGAAGCTCAAGCACACAGGCGTAGCTCAGGGTCCTTGCGAATGTGCACAGACCCTGTGTGTGTGTGTGTGTGGGGGGGAGAAGCAGGTGTGTCAGGAGCTGACTTGTGAGTCGAGTGCTTGGAGGGCACAGGGAGGAAAGCATCAGGGAGGGTTGTTAGCTCCAGCACGGTGTCCACAGGCTGCCCGGTGCAGATGCAGCTGTCGGTCTTCCTGCACACGTTCCCACTGGGGTGGGAGCTCGTGCTGGGGAAACACTGATTCCTTTTTTGCAACTCCTTTCCCCTTCCAGCTTTCGGATGACACTCTTGTAAATTAGAGAGAAAAGTAGCTGGACTATCTCTAAGGTGCCTCATGCTCTGGCTCTGAAACCGTAGCCCTGGGTTGTTGGCCTTCCCGATGGCTCTGTGGCAGCGGCAGTGCCCAGGCTGCACCACCGGGCTGTGCCCAGGGAGCCTGGGGTTGGTGTTCACAGGGTTCATGCAGTTCCTTTCTCCTGCAGGTGACGTTCAGATCCCAGGCCCTCCCTCCAATGTGCACGCCTCGGAGGTCAGCAGAACTTACGTGGTCCTCAGCTGGGACCCGCCCACTCCCCGGGGCAAGGAGCCCTTAATGTATTTCATTGAGAAGGTAATCTCTTCAGACCCCAGCCAGCAGACCTCACGCTGTCCCTTTGCTGTGCTTGACAGAAGGGCTGGGTCCCACTGGTCTCCACAGACACTCACAGGATAATGGGGTGGGCAGAGTTGTGACTGTGGGGAGTGTCTTGGAGTGGGACCTGGCTCCAGGGGAAGGGGTCCTACCTGGGCTTTGCCACCCAGTGTGAGCAGAGCTGCGGCTCTCCTCTCTGGTTTCCATGCCCAGCTGAGCCCGAGGGATCTGCATACTTCCTCCAGCCCCCAGTGCTGCAGGTCCTGAGAAATGCAGATCGTCCTGCTCAGGCCTGTGCGCCAGCCTGTGCCCACTGGGTGGTGGTCTTATAGAGGGAACCACCTGGTGGAGCAGGCTTAGGTTAAGGATCAGACCAGTGCCTGAGGCCTTGATGACGGGGACACACTTAGAGAAGGCAGAGTGCACTGCAGCCCAGGATGCCCACACGCGGGTGCCGCAGTACACATGCACAGGTGCCCTGGATGCAGTATGCCTTCTCAATCAGCCTGTTCTGTTGCATTGGCAATGCAGGCTGTGGCACTCGACTGATCTGGAGACCCACTGTTGGGTTGTGGGCTATGGTTGAACAACACTGTAAAGTCCTACAAACCCTGCAGCTAAGGTTTTGGGATAGCAAATTTGCCTCACAATACAACGTAGAGCTCAGTGCATGGTGTGCACAAGTAGTGTGGGCGTAACTCTCAGTGTGAGTATGTGGCACACCACGCAGCAACGTGAGGAGGTGGATGGAGAGGAGTGAGGTATCAGACTGTGCCTGGCGACACCCGGCCCCCACTGGCCAGCAGGCCAGCCGCCCGGGCAGTGCTACTTACTCTGCATGAGCAGGTGGCACCACATTGGCACCACAAAAGCACACAGGGCACCCACTTGTGGCCTATCCCTGGTGGAGGCACCTCCTCCCCTCATGGCCCTGCTCTCTTCTGCCCGTGCAGTACCAAGAACCTGCAGACACGTTTTAGGAGGAGGGTCCACTTTTGGGCCAGGGAGTCGGGGCCTTAGTTCTTTCTGGCAGAGGCTAGGACGTGCAGACTAGGAGTGATGGGTGGGAGCTCCCAGGGCTCCTGCCTCCCGTGTTCACCTCCTCCGACAGGAAACGTGCCTCCCTCCACCATCCAGCTAGAGCCACAGGGGGCAGTCCTCAGGGCATCAGTGGGCCCTCCCTCCAGCAGCTGGTTCCACAAAACCTTCCTAAAAGCTGTGGCAGTGCACACCTGTAATCCCAGGGACATCGAAGGCTGAGGCAGGCAGATTGCAGGTTCAAGGCCACCTGTGCGATTCAGGGAGACCCTGACTCAAAATAAAAAAGGACTGGAGATGAGTAAGTGGTAGAGCATGCCCGGGTTCCATCCCCAGGACTGCAGGATCTCAAAAAATGACTTTCACTTCTGCCAAACCAAGAGGCGAGTTCCCTTTTCAGGTGAATGTCACTCCCAGGGCTGTGGCTGCTCCCCAAACACCTGCTCTTCCTGCAGGCTTCAGCAGGCCCCCACGCACCCCGTCCCGGGCACCCTACCTTCAGAAGGCAGTTTCCCTCTGGAGGGAAAAATCGCGGGACATTTAATAGAGATTTGGAAAGCCGTGACCAAGGAGACACATTACCTATGCAGTACAGAAATGTGGAGACTCGGGAGCCCTGGTGATGTTCGACTCACCATGGTTCCAAGAGATGAAGTAGTGGTGTCACCCCGAGGGTCGTGTGGGCAGCCTGCCTCACGGCCTTTTATGTGTGGCACGTCACACACATGCCTCTTGTGCTATAGCAAGATGGCAGGACCCTGTCATTGGTCAGAGACCTTCATACCACCATGCAGGTGGCCACAGGCTCTTCAGTACACACACACCTGGCGGTGCTGGCAGCTCGGGTCACATGCCCAACACACCAGCACCCTCTAGGCAGCTGCATCAGGGTAAGAATCTTAACCGCAGTGTGAGCCACCAAGCGACAGTGGAGTTCCGTGAATATTCTCCTAATGTACCTTTAATCATATATAGGCCCTTCCGTTTTACGGAAATTGCAACCTGCGTATTGATTCCTTTATGCTCCTAAAATTCCTTCACTTTAACAGAATAATGTTTATTAATAAAATTTCCAACCTGCGCAATTTCTTACCCACTTCTCCAAATTGGCATCCCTTTCATATAATTAGCAAACGAGTCCTGTTGTCCTTTGTGTGGGACAGAGGCTCCCAGTGTCCTCTGTGCAGGACAGGGGTGTCTCACCGTCCACAGTGCAGGACGGGTACACCCTGTGGTCCTCCGTGCGGGATACCATGGTGTGGCAGCTGGATGCTGTCCTCCTTTGCCCTCCCGGGGTCTCTGCTTTAATTCTGCCCTTCCCTCTGCAGTCTGTGGTTGGGAGTGGCAGCTGGCAGCGTGTCAATGCCCAGACGGCCGTGAGGTCCCCTCGGTACGCGGTCTTTGACCTTGCAGAGGGGAAGTCGTATGTGTTCCGCGTTCTGTCAGCCAACAAGCATGGCCTGAGCGATCCGTCAGAAATAACACCCCCCATCCAAGCACAGGATGCCATTGGTAAGTGGTCATGGTGAGCAGCCAGGCTAGGGGACAGGCCAGCAGCAAGGTGACCTTGGAGACCAGTGGAAGAAGTCCCTAGTGTCGTGTGCACCACAGGGCACGTTGGTGTGGGGTCCCATTTTACCAGCAGGGCAGGGACTGAACCCAGTGGCACTGAACCACTGAGCTGAACCACCATCCTCAGCTCAACTCACCAGGTTCTGGTCAGTTCTCAACAGTCCTCCAAAGTTCTCTCTTGTCTCCATGAAATCAGCGAAGGGGCCGACAGTGCGTTCAGGCCAGGGTCCAGCCCTCAGCATGGTTCAGCCTCTTGTCCGTGTGGCTTGGAAGATCCTCTTGGAAGCTTTCAAAAGTGAACCTTGGGACGTTTGACTCGCAGTCCACGCTGAAGCCCAGCAGCTAGCAGGAGGCCTCCCTCCCCCGGGCCTCCCACGAGAGCTGGCTTAGGATTCCCACTCTGGCCCAGGTGTCTCCTCCCCCTTCAAGCCATATTTCATGGGAAGGCAGATACTAAATGAACAAGGCGGGGAGGCTGTGTGGGGAGTGGGGTCGCAGCCGCCCCAGGTCTTGGATGCCCGGGTTCAGTCACTCAGGCTTCTAGGGCTCAAGTCCAGACCCACAGGCTTGACACTCCCGCCACCTTGCAGAAGCAGCCCGGCCTGTTTGGCCTATTGGCACACATAGAAAGTGACAGTAAGTGGCCACACGGGGGCGTGTGGCTGAGGTGGTGAGCTAACTGGTTCTAGGGATGTTGGTGACACCAAGGCTGAAATGCTGGTGGCCACGGCCCCCGGGGGCCTGGCAGTGGGGAGAAGGTCAGAGGGTCAGACTGGTTTGATTCTGGCCCCTTCCTCCAGGCACCCTATTTGCTTAGATGGTGAGACTTGCGTTTGGAAAGCAGCCTGGCCCAGCCGGGCGAATCTGTCCTTCCCGTGATCTTTCTGTGGACTTGTGATGACAGTTCCTTTGGGGGGTCGTGTGGGGTGTGGGGAGAGCACCCTGCAGCCCCATCTCCCTTGCTCCTTGTCCACGTTCCACCTGCAGCTCCCACCAGCTCCCCATTCCCTGGGGAAAAGCCCAGCTCTCTGCGTCAACTCCTGTGTGCTGACCCTCTGTCTCCCCTGCAGTGGCCCCTTCTGCGCCTGGCCGAGTCCTTGCTTCGCGGAACACCAAGACATCCGTGGTGGTGCAGTGGGACAGGCCGAAGCACGAGGAGGCCCTGCTGGGCTACTACGTGGACTGCTGCGTGGCGGGGACTAACCAGTGGGAGCCGTGCAACCACAAGCCCATCGGATACAACAGGTGCCCCACCTGCTGCCCCTGAGCAACACACTGCCTCGGTGGGCAGGCAGAGCACACACCCCAGCTCCAGAGCAGGGCAGACTGCTGGGACACCCCTTAGACACCGTCTGTTAGGCTGGTCACAGAAAGGGGTGGGTAACTTAAAGCTCTGCCCACACAGTGAGCTGGCACCGTGCCAGCTGCTCTCCATGGAGTTGATGTCTGTCCATCAGACAGACTGCCCCCATCTGAGCTCTTCTTACTGCCACGGAGGACTTTGCAGGAAGCAGGAGGGTTAAGACGGTGCCTAAGACGTGCCAGGGGCTTTGTTTTTCCATACTGACATTTTGAACTTTGCCTCTATCTTTTCAATTATTATTGTAGTTGTACAAATTTATGGGGTTCAGTGGGACAATTGGGTTCACACCCACAGTGTGCAATGACCCTACCTAGGCAGTGGTGCGTGTTTCTGGGGTCTGCTGCGGCTTCTGTGCGTGCAGACCTCAGGCAGCCCTGCTTCACTCAGCCCCGACTGGGAAAGTGGGGAGTCAGTCTGTGGCAGGCCGCGCAGGCCGAAGCTAGCACCGTGACCTCCTGGAACTCACTGCACCCGGGTCGGGCCGAGTGCAGGGAGGGCCCGCGGTTGGTGGGCCTCTATGTAGGAAAATACAGGCAGCCAAACAATTGCCCTGTGGGTGGTTAGTAATGATGGGGTGGCAGTTTTCATTTAAAAATCTTTTTAAAAAGCATGCTATAAAAAGCTATGGTTAGCAAAGGCAGGAGGAATCGAGGAGAGCAAAGCTGGATGGTCCAAGAGTCCTTGGCCCCAAATGGAGAAAGACTGAGCAGAATAAGAGCATCAGTAGTGTTCTCACATGAATGTCCACTACATAAGCTAGATAGCAATCGCTGGGGTTCACTGGATGCTCGCCACACGCAGGCTGGCTGGCTGCGTGCTTTCTGGTAGTTTCCCCTTGAAAGCTCATAATGCCACCACAAGCAGGTCTCATCACACCCGCCGTACAGATAGGAGCACAGAGCCCTGTGGCGCCGGGTCTGGTGAGGACACACTGTCTGCCAAGGGTCAAGGCACGGTCAGCCTGTCCTGTCTGCAGTTTGGTTGCTTCTCTTTCAGTTCTAGATGCATGTGGTTCCCGAGTGCCAGGAGCTGGATATTGATTTTCAAAAGGTCTTTGACCTGGACAAGACCCAGAAAATCAAAAGTAAAGGTAGAGGCTCAGAATCAGTGACTCTGGTGCGAGGTCGGCCGCTCCTGGTGTGTCTGATGCTGCGCTGCCAGGTGTTGAGTCAGTTAACGGAGACTGAAAATGAAGGCCGTGTGGCGCTCTTGTAGGAAAGCTGGCTGGGTCTTAGTCCAAGGGAGCGTCTCGTCTGAAGAGCTGGAGGAGAAGGACCTAGGTGAGCCTGTGCCATGACCCTGTGTTTTCCCAGGTTCGTGGTGCACGGTCTGACCACGGGCGAGCAGTACATCTTCCGGGTCAAAGCTGTCAACGCTGTGGGCATGAGTGAGAACTCCCAGGAGTCGGAAGTCATCAAGGTCCAGGCCGCCCTCAGTGCGTAACTTGTGGGTGGTCCTCGAGGGCGCCATGAGTTCTGCATGAATAAGCTCTCAGGGTGCCACTGCAGAGGACCGGAGGACAGGGGTGGAGGCTGGCCCGGGAGCATATGCGTTGAGGCTGGCCGGTAGAGCCCAGGCCTTCTGCTGAATCCTCTGGTCAGCTGGCTGCTGTGTGGAAATGCCAGTGTGGGGGGAAGCAAGGGGGTGCCCCTAAATCCCCAACGGAAACAGACACCACTGCAGGCCAGCTTGATTCCCAAGGCCCCCATTCACACTAAAAGGAAGGCCACAGGGCAGGACTTTCTCCTTTCAAAGTGTGTGTGAAACAGAACCACCAATGGCCTTTAACTATTATTTTATTAATTTTTTTGGTACCAGGGACTGAACCCGGTGGCATCCTCAACCCTTTTTATTTTTTATTTTGAGCCAGGGTCTTGCTAAGTTGCTGAGGCTGCCTATGAACCTGAAATCCTCCTGCCTCAGCCTCCTGATCCACTGGGATTATAGTTGTGCACCACGGTACCTGGGCTTTCAGCTATTATGAGCTTAAGGAACTTTAGCAAGTCATTTTAGAAATCTTCATGTTTACGTCACCTTGTGACTGTATTCACGAATAGTGATGGTTAAAGATGTTTATTACTTGTGAGTCAGTGTTTGTGGTTGCTGCTGTGGATCTTTCCTGTCGAACACACCATATCTTTGGACACATTCAGCGATGTTTCAAGACACAATTGTCACACATTTTGAATCAAGTATCTTCCTTTCACTTCTGAGAGACAGTTGTGGCTGTTTTATTGTTTTTCATCTGCAATTAAATTTACAAACATTTTTGGAAGTTAAGGTTTCCCTGCTGGGATCTCCAAGGAACGTCAGATCTGACCATGTGCAGGGCCCCAGGGCGAGGAGTTAGCCCCATTTTTGCTTAAGGTCCTGGTTCTTCCCAGCTTTCCCAGGAGGGACGTCCAAGCACGCCTGTCTGCCTTCTCACCCCATCCCTAGGGGATGTGGGCCATTGCTCCCATTTAGCAGCTGACCCTCAGTACTGGGGGTCGAGGCTCCAGGTGGCTCAGTCAGGGAAGCTGTTGAATTCTTGCCAACTTCCTAGGATGAGGTGGCCCTTTCCCGACGTGGGAAATGTGCGCTCATGAGCACCTGCATCGATCCAAGCCTCCACGGCTGCAGGAAGCCAAAAGGCACTGGGGCCACGCCCCGTGGTCGCTCTTCCCCACCACACGTGGGAAAGCTCCTCTGAGGTCTCCTTAGTGGGCCACGAAGGGAACCTTCTGTGGTCCACTGTCCAGACCGATTGACGCAGTGCGGTGCCTTGCATCCTGCAAACACTGGTAGATGCATTTAGGAAGAGCAGCGCTGTCCATGAGAGAGGCTGTCTACCCATCCACTCATCACCTTTAAAGGACCAGTGTCAGAGGCAGGAGGGAGAGCTGGAGTGGCATGGGTCCAGCCCTGCCCCACACCATGGGTGAGACGAGGGCCCGGAGCCAGGCTGGTCACTTGTGCACTGTGCTTTCCTGCAGCCGTCCCATCCCACCCATATGGGATCACACTTCTGAACTGTGATGGCCACACCATGACCCTGGGCTGGAAGGTGCCCAAGTTCAGCGGCGGCTCACCCATCCTGGGTTATTATATAGACAAGCGTGAAGCTCACCACAAGAACTGGCATGAGGTCAACTCCTCTCCTGTGCAGCAGAGGATCTTAACGGTGGGTTCCCCTTTTCTTTGGGCCTGGGAATGTTGGCACTCTCTGTTCAGTGTTCCAGAGCTTGATGACCTTAGGTGGTTTGATAAGGAAATAAGTGAGTGTAAAAATCCTAGCATCGTGAGGCCATGGAGTTTTGGATCTGAAAAGATCTTAGGTGACATTTGTTTTTTTTTCTGAGAAGAAGTAAAGGAACAGAGGCAGTAATTGAGGGATCTGCAAACCGTGGGTGACCAGCTCGTCCCTTGTGGGAGCTCTGAGCCTCTGGAAGGCAGGCGCCCTCTCAGGTGCTCAGCTGGTGCAGAGCCCAGTGCCGGGGCCAGTGGTGCTGAGCAGGTGCTTGTTCAGCAATGTGCTGCACCTTTCCTACGAAATCCTGGGTGGTCCCTTGCCACAGTGCACGTTGTCCGCAGCGTGGAGAGAGGGGGACTGAGGGGGGGCCACAGGCAAAGCCAGGCAAACCCAGGCAGCCCTGGGCTTCACAGTCCACTTGCCCGAGCCTCTGGCTCCTCCTGGGCATGGGACGAGCGACCGGAGCTGTCATTACCTTCTTGGATTGACGCATCTCACAGGGGCCACATATGCTGGGAGACAAGGGCTTTGGGGGCAAAGTCTACTCTCTGTCTTACAGAAAATTCTGCTTTGTGATGTTTTATCTTTATGGTCTGTCTTACATATGGAGCATGCCATGATACATGCATGCTATGATACATGTGGCCAAAACCCAGGTTTGATGTGACCCTGTTTATATTTGCTGTGTTCAGCCACAACCTCTAGATGTTCTCTATTGGGTCCTCTGTTCCTGAGAAAAATACCCTCCTCTTTTTTGGGTGCAAGTAGCCTAAATGAGGATGGGCTCTGCTTTCCAGGGAGTGGGAACGTTTAACTGCCACGTCTTGTTCTGGGAGCTCTTTTCTAGGGTTCTAGAGAGCATGTGCTGGACGTGGCTTTTGTTCTACCACCTGCGGGCCGAAGCCCGTGTCCTGGCTGAGGCCTTCCCCAGGTCTCACCCATAGCTGGCAAGTCTGCAGGCCCCACGTGGACATGGGCTTGTAGTGCCCCGGGAGCTGCCAGCGAGGCCCTCGCCTGGCAGAGCAGGTGGCCTGGTGGGGCGGGTGGCGGGCTGCCTGTGGCACTCAGCCAGGCCTGAGTGGGCTTCCCGCGCGTTCCGCAGCTCCGTCCCACCATGCCAGGACTAGGTCTGGGGTCTGCAGGGACCGGCAGGGTTCAGGGGCCCCTGCTCTGCTCACCTGTGTGTGCTCTTTGTGGGACCCCTCTCTCAGCCTCAGTTTCCGTACCACCCCAGGGCACGTCCTCTCATCCTTGTGGGAGTGTCAAGGGGTGAATGGGTCTGACGTGTGCCTGCAGCTTGCTGGGTCTGTCAACGGCTCTCTTTAGGTGATCTAGTCTAACTTTCCCACAAGCACCCTTCCCCGGGACTCACTGACAAACCACCATAATGCTCCTTTCCTCAGTGGACCGGCATGCACGTTATTTCCTGTAGTAACTGAGGCAAAATCTACGCAGGTGGAGGGCTTGGCGGAAGGCTCATTATATGAGTTCAAAATTGCTGCCGTCAACCTGGCGGGGATCGGACAGCCATCGGACCCCAGTGAGCTCTTCAAGTGTGAGGCGTGGACAGCACCGGAACCCGGTGAGACGCGTCCCTGAACACAGCACCCAGAGCTGGGCAGGCCAGAGGGCTTTCCAGGAGGTGTGTGCTGGGCAGCTGTGGTGGATGCCCTCCTCTCCCAGTGAGCAGACGTGGAGACGACGGCAAACCCACGAGCCGTGCCTGGGAGTGGCTGAGCAGCCACAGTGTTGCAGCGCAGGCAGGGCGCTCAGGAGCAGGCAGGGCAGAGGGAGGGCCAACAGTGGGAGGGACGGATGGCTGACCAGGTCACTGGAGAGGGGACAGGGTTCCAGAGTCCATGTTCCCAGGGTGTGGCGCCAGCCACTGCTTCCTGGGGACAGAGAGGAGCCCAAGGCAGGAGAAGAGGGCGGGCAGGAGGGAAGCCACCAGGCCCCCGGGAGTGGACACAGCAGGCATCTGTCCTCCCTCCTGCTCCTTTCTATCGCCCCTCCCCCTGCCCTGCTTCCTTCTCTCTGCCCTACCTGTTCTAGTGAAGCCGACTTTGGACCCTGAGGGAAGTCCATAGGAGAAGACCCTCTTCTTTCCAGGGCCTTCACGGGGCACCTGGCCCACTGGCTTAGACCCTGTGTGTTCTAATTAAGATGGCGCCTGCTGGGCAGCTTTCCCCCTCCTGTCCACAGCCCGTCTGGAGCTGGGAATCAGCAGCAGACAGCTTTAGGCTTACCTGGTGTTGGAGAGAGCAGAGCGGCGCCCTGCGCTAGCTGGCCTCGGGTTTCCATGCCAGTGGCTGCAGCACGCACCTGCCCATTTCTGCACTCCTCTCTCTGATGCCACCTGCTGGCAGGGAGAGCACCGTGGGCCCGTGGCTACACACCCACTATCTCCCTGAGGCCACGGGGTGCTGCAGGACCGAGCTGGGCTCTCCCCAGGCCCAGCATCAGGACAGTCCTTCCAGGAAGGGCGAGCCCTCAGTGTCATGAGGAGGACATGGGGATGTCCCAGCGCATCTGCCTGTAGCACAGGTCAGGGTGTGCTGAGCTGGCTGAGCACAGGTCCAATTTGGCTCTGCAGGTCCTGCCTATGACTTGACATTCTGTGAGGTCCGGAACACCTCGCTGGTCATGCTGTGGAAGGCCCCAGTGTATGCAGGCAGCAGCCCTGTGTCTGGGTACTTGGTGGATTTTAAGGAAGAAGATTCTGGGGAATGGAAGACGGTGAATGAGGTGGCAACTCCAAATCGTTATTTGAAGGTGATTTGTTCATTGCTTCCTTTTACCTGAAGGTGTTTTTGCTCAAGCCCCTGAGGAACTTGTTCAGGTGGCTTGGATCTGACCCTTCTGGGCTCTGCACAGTGAGGGCAGGAGCACCTGGCCGGGGCAGGAAGAGCCCGGGAGGTGGCGGCAGGGGCTGTGTGGCCTGCCCTTTTCCCGGCCATGCCGCAGTCTAACAGAGTCCAGCACTGCCACAGTCCTCGTTGACCTCTGGACCCAGGAGCTCTCAGCAGGGGTGGCCTGTATGCTGTGTCATGCCCCTTCCACCCACAGCTCTCTACATAGCTCAGGTGACACGGTAGACGTCACTTGATGTGAGTGCACACAGTGAACGTGGCTCTGTCCTCTCTCCAAACATTCCTGTTTTAGCACTTGGGACGTCTGTCCCTGGGTGGCTATGACAGCTGTCCTCGGTCCCGCAGGCCCCTGTGCCTGGAGGCTTGCCAGCTGCCCAGTGGTCCCTCCTGGTGTGGGCCTGGGGTATGGTTAGATGCCTCGCCTGCCTCAGGCACTGGGTGCTCACTCACGGTGCCCTCTGCTGCACCTCTGCACCCTGGGAAGAGCTTCTGGTGAATGAAGAGATGGGCTCTGAGAACCCCACTCTCCACCCAGGACGGCCCGCATGTCTGTGTATGGGAAGTCGCTAACTTCGTTTTGATGTGTCCAAGTGACCGTTTTGCAGTCACAGATCACGCTTAAGATAATATTTCGTCCCATAGCCCTGTGTTAAACATAGTTTAACATAGTTAAATCTGAACAGCAGATTGCAATCTAGTCAATATGATTTAATTGTGCTTTAAAATGTGCAGAAGAGAACGATAGATACCCTAACGTGTTTCTTCCTGAAGCGAGATGGGCCTGGTGTGCATCTCTTTCCCTCTCGGCTGCTCGGTCAGTACAGCTTTCCCAACCAGAAAAGCGTTTTAAAGGAAGGAAGGTGTGTTCACCTTAAAACGTGAACGATGGCAAAGTCTGTGTTTTCTACCGACACTTGACACTTCCCTGTCCTCTCAAGGTCTGTGACCTGCATCAAGGTAGGACGTATGTGTTCCGAGTGAGGGCAGTGAATGCCAGTGGGCCCGGGAAGCCCTCCGACACGTCAGAGCCGGTGCTGGTGGAGGCCAGGCCAGGTGAGAGCTGCCAAGGCCGCGGAGCAGCCGTAGGGGGCACGTGCAAGTGGGGGGCTTGCTCGGGTGTGCTGGGTGAGGGAAAGGGCGCCCCTGCAGTTTTTAGGCAGATTGGCGTTAGCACAAGAAATAAAGTCGCACTCCACCTCTGCTTATGCTGAGACCCAGGGCAGGAGGACAGTGCTTTTGGTCATCATGATGTTCAGGAAGAAAGGTGGCTTCTTGTAGAGCTGCTGAGTTTTGATCAGAAATTTATAAAGCTGTCTGATATTTTCTTGGTGGCAATGAGTTAAAGCCCCAGGAGTTATACAAAGGAAACCCCTGGGGCAGGACAGCTCCTGGGGTCTGCGTACAGGTGTGTGGCTGGTATTGTGGGAGGTGATGGAGCCACTCGCAGAGACCTGCTGTGCCCCCTGGGGCCTTCACTGTCCTGTGGACTCTTGTTCATTTCGTTCTGCTGTCTCTTTGTGACTTCTCCATCCTTCTGGAAGCTTGAGAGCATCTGTATCACGTGGCCTCAGTTCTGCTCTCCCGCAGAGGTTGAGCTGTGCCCCTCCCGCCCAGTTTCTTTCTTTCTTTTTTGTTTTGGTACCAGGGGTTGAACCCAGGGAAGCTGAATCGCTGTATTTTTGTATTTTATTTAGAGACAGGGTCTCACTGAGTTGCTTAGGGCCTTGCTAAATTGCGGAGGCTGGCTTTGAACTCACGATCCTCCTGCCTCAGCCTCCCGAGCTACTGGGATAACAGATGTGCACCACTGTGCCCTGGACAGTATCCCATCCTGATTTCTAAGACCTGAATTCTGGCTGGCCACATGTTGGCCATGGATCCACCCCTGGGTGGACTCAGCAAACAAGCAGTACTCCCCAGAACCAAGATACTCACCTGTGTGGGTGAAGTTGACCAGCATAGGTGAGGGCAGGTTAGGCCTCAGGGAGAAAGGGATCAGGCCTGAGAGGCAGCCCCTGGCCTTCTAGATGGTACTGGACACAGAAAGGAAGTGGACAGAAATGTAGTGACCTGAAAGTGGCCAGTCAGGGCTCCCTTGAGCGCTCTGCTCCCTCTCCGCTGTCTGGGTCAGTGGACGTTAAGTGAAAGTGCTGATCAGACGTCAGATAAGCTCTTCACCTGTGCCACCACCTTCTGAAGACAGGACACTTGTTGCCAGGCTCAGTCACCCTTGCTCTGCAGGCACAAAGGAAATCAGCGCTGGCGTGGACGAGGAAGGCAACATCTACCTGAGCTTTGACTGCCAGGAGATGACGGACGCCTCTCAGTTCACCTGGTGCAAGTCCTACGAGGAGATAGCCGACGAGGAGCGGTTCAGCGTGCACACGGAAGGCGACCAGTGAGCCCCCGGGAGGCGGGTGCTGGGAACCCTGGACATCCCGCAGACAGCAGCAGGAGCTCACCCCAGCTCTGTCTCTGTTTCCAGCTCGAAGCTGTACTTTAAGAATCCAGATAAAGTGGACGTGGGGACCTATTCTGTGTCCGTGAGTGACACGGATGGCGTGTCCTCCAGCTTTGTTCTGGATGAGGAAGGTAATGTCTAAATGATGCAGGCTTGCTGTTTTGTTTTTATTCATGCTTTCAAAGAGCGATTCTGATACAGACTTCTGTATCCACCTGTTTGACTAGAGAAGGGGTGTTTGTTGGAGGCAAAAGGCGGCATATTCAAAGGAGTCAAAATTTACAATCAAGCACATCCAGAGTGGGTGGTCTCTGCCACACAGAGCTGTGGGGGCTCAGGTTTCACACAGTTCTTGGTGTGAGTGCAGACAGTGGAGGAGGGCTGGGGGTCGGGGAGAAGTCGGCCTGGGGCGGCCATCAAGGGGCAGGTTTTCCCAGGCGTCCACTGAGTTCATAGGCAAAGGCCTGAGGCGGGGGCGGGCGGCTCTGCGCTCCTGTCCAGCCCTCCCCTCCCCTGCTCCCTCAGCCCTGAGTGTTGTGCAGAGGTCAGCCGTGGGGCGGGCGCTCTGCAGCACCCCGAGTAGCATCACAGGACCTCTGAGGGCCTTGGAGGCCAAGGCGGCTTAGCCTGGTTCTGTAGGGTGCAGGCTCCCCCCGGGTACTGTAAGGCACATAGGCAAGTCTTTGAGTTGTCAGTGGCCTCCTGGTCATAGCAGACACCACAGACTGGGTGATTCCTAGTGAACAGAGCCTTATTTTCTTATGGTTTTGGAGATTGGAAGCCCAAGATCGGGGGCTGTGTCTGTGAGGACCTTCCTGCCTCTTATCCCCTGATGGGAGGTAAACCTGGGAAGCCCAGGTCCTCCTTAATTCAGCCCCTACTCTCTTGGTATCAAGCCCACCCCTGGGAACATGGCTTTCACACAGTCCCACTTCTCAGCACCACTGCAGTGGGACTAAATCCCCAGCACATGAACCTTGGGGGCACTGCTCGGGTCTTTCTGAGAGCAGTGTGTCTGTCTGCTCTCTTGTGCTCATGGTAAAGCACAGGTCAGGGCTGGACGGCTGATCACATATACACTTTCTTGTTAATAAAATCCAAGAAGGAAGTTTTGAAGGGGAGGAAACAGCATATTCCCAGCCAGGTTAGGTCAGGGAGAGGGTTCCCTTGGAGTTAGGCCCCCTGTCTTCTCCCCGAGGCCTCCTCTCTAGCTCCCTGGGAGCTCCCTGCCTGCCCAGCTCCTCCTTCCCAAGATGCAGCTCGACCTTGCCCTCTGCTTCCCCTGAGCAAGTGCGTTCTTTTTTATTTTGTTTTATTTTTATTTTTTGGTGCTGCTGGGGATTGAACCCAGGGCCTTGTGCATGGGAGGCCAGCCCTCTACCAACTGAGCTATATCCCAGCCCAGCCTGCAAGCGTGTCCTCTCCATCTTCTCAATGTTAGTTCACATTTCTTCCATATCCTCACAGTAGACCATGGTGACACAGAGTCTCTGCTCTTGTTTAGCTATTGTGTACAGGCTTCTGAATGCTCGGTCAGAATTGATTAAAATCTGTTCTCTTCATTCTAGAACTTGAGCGTCTGATGGAGCTGAGCCATGAGATAAAGAATCCCAGTAAGTGATCTGCCCTGCGGGCACACTTGTAAGCCCACGGGGCAGCTTCCCAGGGCAGGGCAGTCCCACCCTGGTCCCAGCCTGTGGGCTCCTAACGACCGTTGCAAGTGCCTCTTTATACTCTGGAGAGGTACAACAATGTGTCTGTCCGATGCCGTCTTCAGTCCCGAGTCCCACTGAGCACGGACGAACACAGGCAGCTGCAGTGGTAGACGGCACCCTGAAGGGGCCCCCAGAACAGGTGGAGGCGTCAGTGAAGCACAGGCTCCTTGCCGACTCACCCTCCCTCGAGTTCTGGTTCCAGTGCCCAGTGCAGCTCTCCAGGGCTGTGCCGCCCGTGTTTCAGGGCGGGTGTTTTCCTGCGATTGGCTGTGCTCTTCCTCACGAGGATGGGGCATTGACTTGAGGTTTCCTTCCTTCCGCAGCCATTCCTCTGAAATCAGAATTAGCTTATGAGATTTTCGACAAGGGCCAGGTCCGCTTCTGGCTCCAGGCTGAGCAATTGTCGCCAGACGCCCGCTTCCGATTCGTCATTAATGACAGAGAAGTCTCAGACAGCGAGGTGAGTTCCTGGAGCACGCTGCGGCCCTGGTGGAGCCGGGTTTGGTGGCCGTCCGCGGCTTCGGGTCAGCATTCTGTGTGTTCCCCTTCCTTTTGAGCTTTGGAAACTGGGGGTAGGCGGTTGACAAGAGGAGAGGAGATGGCGGGTCCTCGAGGTGCTCAGAGATTGCTCTGGGTTGGATGAGACTCAGTAGTCTTTGAAATCCAAGCCTGTTGGAATCCAAAAATGACAAATTAGCTTCTCGAGACTCGGAGCTCAGCCTTATGAAGAGGTTCTGGACCTGGGGAAATGTCCCCACTGAGCAGCTCCTCTGGGGGTGGCCTGGAGGGCTTGAATTCTGTCTCTGTCCTGAGAACCTTCCTGCATCCCGCCCCCGATGGCTTCCCATGGGAGACGCAGCACACTGGAGCTTGCACACTGCTGCCTTGCTGTTCTGCCTTAATTGCTAAGATGACCCTCACCATTACCATAGGCCCCTAGGAGTCCTCCTGTGTTCTCTGAGGTGTTGGTCCTGTGGGATACGTTTCCCCTTGCTGATACAGCACGCCAACGCACCCCGTTAGGGGACCACCTATTTGAAGGGGTCTGTTTTATTCGGTGGTGGGGTCGGTGCCTCTCGGACCCCACCATTGTGAGCTCTTCTGACCCCTCTTCTCTTGACACCGAGTGACTGTCATTGATGCACTCAGCTGGCCTACCAAGTCCTGATGCCCTGGTCACGCTCGAGGTGCACGAGTCACCAGGCCATGTGGGCAGCCCAGTTCTCTTCTCCCGAGTGGCCGCCTCATCTTCAGTCCTGCTATTCTGCAAAGCCAAGAGGGGTCAACTGCAGTCCTTCAGATGGAAATCTCACATGGACCAGGATCGCATACTTATCACATGATCTGCTCAGTCTGTCCTGAGGGAATCACAGCATGCTTTAGGACTTGTCCGGGTGGCAGAGTTGGCTAGTGGAGAGCACGTAGATTCTTTGGGCTGCAGAAGAGCCAGCTGTACAGATGCCATCAGCAGGAGGCACTGCCTGATAGGTGGCCGGAGAAGTGTCTCTCTGAGCAGAGATCACGCCAAGAGATGAAGCGGAATTCAGTGTAATTGAGCTTCATTTGCAGAACGTCTTTTAATTAGCTTTTCCTACAATCTTTAGAGATTGTGTCCTGGCTGCCCGGCTACTCTTTGGAATGTGGTGCACTATTTCACTTCTTAATTAGCAATCCACAGGAAGCCTTTACACTTGAAGACTGACGCTGCTTTGTGAAAGTCACATAAAATCCTGTGTTTTTGGCACTCACAGAATCATTGAACTTTATCTGCTGCATAATGGCGGTAGCAAGAAACCTAATTATTTTTCTGAAATCTGCCCAGATACCGCAGTGCAGAAAAGACTGTGGCACTGCTGAGAGTCGGGTGGGTGAGAATCCTGCCTTCACGCTCATCAGAGCTGAGGAGAGTCTGCTAGGCTGCAGACTCCAGGCCTAGGTGGGCCCCTCGCAGGGTCAGGGGTGGCCCTCCGGCTCAGGTGTGGTCTCACTGCTTCAGTTCCGAGGGGGGCTCAGTGTTGCTGTGTGCTTCTGTCATCCATTCCCTCCCCAACAGGCGGGACCACGCCTGCCCCTTGCCCCACCCCCCGTCACGTGGGCTGTAGATCCCCCCTGCAGGTCACAGTAGAACACATGTCCTGCTCTCTCCCACATGTTGTGGTTTTCAATAGTGAGCATCGGGAACTCTCATTGTAGAGGTGATTTCGGGGTTTCGTGAAGATGAAGCGTGGGGTGGTGGGGGAGCAGGCTCTATTCTCTTAAAGCCTGAAGTCGCGCTGCAGATATTCAGAACAGATGCATTGCAGTTAGCCCGGAGGACGGTGTGCACCCAGGGGCGGCTGGAAGTGTCCGGCTCGTCACTTGGTGGCTTTCTGCTGTGGCATCTCTCTTCTGCCACTGGAATTTGGATATAAAAACCAGAAGCAGCCTTAATGAGAAAGGGACCTGGTGGGAATAGATGGGCAGGTAGGGATTCCCTGCGGAGCCCTGGGGGAGGGCGGGGAGGCGTGGCTCACACAGGTGGCTGGGCTTTCCTTCTGCTCATGCTTCCTGAGGGCCTCCCACTTTCATGCCTAAAACCAGGACATCCTTGACAAATGTGGCCTGTTTTTAGCTCAGGCCCCCTGGGTGTGGGGAGGTCAGGCAGAGGAGTCAGTCCTGCTGTGATCTACAGGAGGTGCCCTGGGCCCTGCCCTTTGAGTCTGGGCTCCCCCAGGTTCCTGCTGCATTTGGGAGGAGCTGTTCATTCATGTGGGTGTGGCTCTTCCTCCATGACCCCTGCTTAATTTCAGATGGTGCATTATCTGCGGGTGAATCAGACACAGCACATGAGCAACCATAAAACCTTCCCGTGTCTGTGGCTCATCACACAGCGAGAGGGCAGAGTCTCAGGGCACGTGAGGTGTGGCTAGGCTGGAGGCATTGAAGGTCACCACCCAGGGCCACCCAGATGGGCTGTGGGCTCAGGGCATGCTGGTGTGGTGACGGTGGTTGGGGAGTGGGTGGCTGTTGAAGGAAGGGAAGTGTCAAGGACAGGGAGGGACTGAGAAGGGAGGTCCTGGTGCAACCTCCCAGGAGACTCGCCTGGTCCCTGGCAGCCCCGTGGCCCTCACCTACAGCCTGCCCCCTTTGGTCCCTGTTCCCCTCCATGCAGCGTGACTTTGCACCTGTTAGTGTCCCTGTTAGTGCGTATCCCTGAGGCCCGTGTCCTGCCTGGCTCGTCTTCAGGTGCTTGGTTGTCCCAGCCAGGCACTTAGAGGGAGCTGCTTCCTTCTGCAGGGCCACGGGCAGCTCAGAACTCACAGGTGGAGAGAGTAGGAAGGCTCAAGGACTGAGGATGCCCCCAAGGAAACCCCAGTGCCAGGCCACAGCTGCAGGAGGCCACAGGGAGAGCCCGCTGCCTCTCCACGGGGGGGCTGACTGCCTTATAATGTCACTTTTATTGGTGATTTTTGCTGGCTAGGTGCAGTGCTAGGTGCTGGGAAAGTTTTCAGAGATAAGTAAGAGATGCCGGCTTCTCCAGGACCCATTGCTAGTGAGCCAGCAAGAGACATTTGGATGGGGGATACAGAGACCCACAGAGGGCATCCAGCCTCACCCAAAGGTGACTGGAGAGGGCCACCAGATTGTCGTTGGGATACAGACACTGAGGCTCAGGAGCTGGGGGACAGGCTGCACTGGAAAATGTGAGGTGAGGCCCCGCTCTCCCACACAGAGCAAAGGAGGCAGGGAGGCCAGACCTCCCTGAGGAGGTCCTCCCCTATCTGTATCCTGAGTGCGCTGGATGACGTCAGGTGGCAAGGTCACAAGCCTGCTGTGCTGCATCTGTGCTCAGCAGAGCCTGCTGTACCCACGTGGGTGGCACTGCGGAGGCTGTGGCTGTGCACCCCAGGGACTGAGGACCACCGTGATGAGGGCCATGCAATCGTAGCTCTGTGCATGGGGTCTCTTCTTTCTTCTTTCTCTGTTGGATTTTAACTGTTTGCACAGATGCTTGTTTTGGGTATGAGGTGTCCATGTTGGGCATGAGTGTGTGGGGGTGGCACTTCCAGGGATGTCCCCAGGGAACCTGGGCTTTGTCAGGATGCAGGCTCCTGGCCTTTGGTCCGTGGTCCACCAGAGGTTGAGTTGATGACATTTCATTCTGTGTTACTCTGCAGCACAAGCCCCTAAGTCACAATAGTCAATGCCACTTCTAAGTGCAGGGAGGGAGCCAGAGGGATTCCGTGGTGTGACTCCCTGTCCCTTTACTTGCAGACACACAGAATCAAGTGTGACAAATCAACTGGCGTCATTGAGATGGTGATGGATCGGTTCACCATTGAGAATGAAGGCACATACACTGTGCAGATTCAGGATGGAAAAGCCAAGAGTCAGTCTTCCCTGGTTCTTATTGGAGATGGTACGCTGTATTGCATTCTTTCCCGTGTCAAAGAAAATTCTTCAGTAGGGGAAAGCAAACCTGTTTATGTCTCTCTCTTGGATGTTGACCGTAGCCTTCAGGACCGTCCTAGAAGAGGCTGAGTTTCAAAGGAAGGAGTTTCTCAGGAAGCAAGGTAAGCTGGCTCCCCGAGGCGCAGCAGGGAGCCGGGACCGGGGTCTGAGCCCTCGCATCCTCTCAGGTCTCTGCGTCTTCAGTGGCAAAGCCATGCCCTTCCGTGGCCGAGGGAACCTGGATGCTTCTCTGTCCTCTGCTTTGTGCGCACCCTGCTTGTTCGTCTAACTTGGAACCCCAGGACTCTCTTGTTCCTGTGTCCTGTCACAGCCCATGGGGAAAGTGTCCATCTGGCCAGTCTCTGTGCCAACTTGCTGACTAACTGGTGTTCTGCACGCTGTCCTTCCCAACCACTCCCTGGCTTTGTAACACACGTTGGCAACTCCACACAGCGTGAGACACGCGGGCGCACTCCCACTCCATGACCCCGGGTGTGACCACATCGTCTCTCCCACCTCACCGGGTGCAACCCTCTGACCAACCAGCAGTCAGATGGACATCTGTAATGGCCTTCTTGGTCCAGGGCCTGTCATTTTCTGGCTCTGCTTCTCCTTCTTACCCCGTCTCCATCTGAGCCAAGTGTGTAGAATGTGATTTTATGAAAGGAGTTGACACTTACTTTCTAACCCTGCTTTGCATTTTTGTGTTGATGGGACAATCGCATTGTTAATATATTGCTTCTACATTTAAATGTACATAATCTATCCTTGATTTTAAAAGCCACACAAACCATGCATAACAAAACCTCTAGGTCAAGCTGTTGGCCAGGTCGACTTCGGGGCTGTGAAAGTACCTCAGTTTCATAGTGTACAGAAGTGCTGTATGTAAGCAGTACACACATGTGTATATCCACACACAGCTAGAAGCACACACCATACACATGTGTATTCAATATCTGTACAATACACACTTACTCATGGGTATAAGCTCTTTCCCTTTTCCCCCCTAGGCCCTCACTTTGCTGAGTATCTGCACTGGGATGTCACGGAAGAATGTGAGGTTCGGCTGATCTGTAAGGTGAGGCCCTCGTTCCAAGGTGGAGCAGACAGGGGCCACTCTTGGTCTTGGCAGAGGTTGAGGGTTGGGCCCTGTGGTCTGGCTCAGGTGTGTGCAGAGGGACGGCTTTGTTCTGGTGGCATTCAGGGCTTGCCCTTCCTTCTTTGTGAGAAGATGGCAGGATGGTGACCTGCAAGAGAAGGCTCAAGTGGGTGTTTAAGTCTTGGCAGGTGAGTTTGTGAGAGAGCCCCTGACGAAGTCCACCCATTGTGCACTGCTCTTGGAACTTCACGGGGCACATTTGGGAACGTGATGTTTTCCAAGTTTCAATAACTCAGCAGTTAACCAGCTTTAATTTTGGTTAGATTGCATTTTCCTCAGGAAACCTGTGGCTTGTTCGCCCACTCAGTGATTGCCACTGGGCTGGGTGGGGGGTAAGAGGTCCGTTATGCACGGTCTCTCTCCTCAACGTAATCGCAGTCTGAGGGGGCGGGAGACAAAAGCAAGCAGGGAGTTTCAGCAAGGGGAGGACTCCGGAGCTGAGTAGGGCAGCCCAGGACACAGGTCAGTAGGTGAAGGGTGGCCCGCAAGCCCAGGAGCAGGAGCTGCCAGGTACACAAAGCCCCCGGAGGGAGCACCGTACAGCACCAGTGTCCTAAACAACATCCAGACCTGAGCTGGGAGCCAGGAGGGCTGGACCCTGGCAGAGCAAGAGGGTGGGCGCCTGGAGGCTTGTCCAGGAGGAAGGAGTGTGGGGGGAGAGCTAGGGGAGAGCTGGACGCACCCGGGAGCCACGCGCTCCCTGAAATCTGTGGGAAAATGTAACTGTCGATTTCCTGACCATCGTTAGTGTTGGTGATTGATTTTCAATGTCCTATCGACACATCTCTTCTTATTGAAAACTAGGGCTAAAGCCCTGACATTTAATATGCTTAAGGCCATCCTACATTTATTATAAAGAAATTACTTAGTGTTTTTGTAGTGAATTTCTTGCCCTAATATGTTTAATAGGAATATTCAAAGACAAATCATTTCTTTTTCTTTTTGTGCTTGGGATTGAACTCGGGGTGTTCTACCACTGAGCCACATCCCTAGAGAGTTTTACTGTTTATTTTGAGACAGGGTCTCACTAAGTTGCCTAGGGCCTTGCCTCCCCAGCCTCTGGGATTGCAGGTGTGCAGAAACACTTACAAAAGAAGTTTACTTGCAAAGAAGTGGCAAGAGAGCTGCCTCAGCAGGGCTCCCTCAACAAGTGAAAGCATTTCAGGTAGTTAAAGGAAGATGCCCCTGGATGGCCAAGGGTAGCTATTTACTTAGCTGTTCACGCTGGTAAAACAGCAGTTTTCTCAAATGATTACCATGTGTGGAAAGGTGTGCATCTTCTAGACATCAGTCCACTAGGTGGTCAGTACTTAGCACACACAGGGGCAGGTGCTCGGTATCCTGGGTCTTCTCTTTCTTCTGACTACTGGGGAACCCAGGGTCGGGCACAGCCCATGGGCAGCAGCAAAAATATGAGTTCTTCCCTGGGGACTCTGATGTCACCTAAGTGGTGCATTACTCTCTGCAGATATTTCAAACTACCCTGTGTCCTTGACTAAAGGCTCTACCAACTTTTAAACTCAGATGTTGGAGAAACCAAATAAATATTGCTTGAGATTTGAGTATTTTTGCAATTTAATGCACCGACTTTACATGAGTAAAGTCAATTCTGAAATTCTGTGGACCAGTTTTCATCTAACGATACTGTGGCAGACGGCTATTTTAAACCTTATGTATGTGACAAAATATGGGGAGGATGATTTATGATGTTAGAGGAAGGTCCTGCCTCCCAGCCCCCTGTGTACTTGTCCCCAGGAGTTCCTCAGACACTGGGCCAGGCAGGCTCCCAAACTGGGGGCAAGTGTGACTGGGCGGGCGGAACCCCTGCTTTATGGGGACTGTATTTTGGCATTGCTGCTGATGACGGCAGTGCACGCGGCTGCTGTGGGAAGCCTTCACGTTTCCTAAGCATCTGTGCTTCCCAACCCTGCCTTTGTCTCCTGGTCTGCGTGGGTTAAGGATGCAGACTGCCAGCCTGCAGTGGGAGAGCACAGCTCCCCTGTGCAGAGAACGCTCTTCACCGCCCGCACCCTGGGGCCTGTGTGCAGAGCACCTGCCTGGGCTCCCCCAGCCTAGCTTCTCAGCCAGAGACAGGCTGGCGGGGCATTCAGGAGAGGGAGAGTCCTCTTTCTGCATCCCACTCTGCACGGCAGCACCTGGAGCGCCACACTGCTCAGGAGCAGCCACTGGGTAGTTTCACACGCTCCAAGGACAGTCTAGCTGTTTATAAATAAGATGCACTGCTGATGACTAGTCCTGATTAGAGGCACTTCACATAAACCAAAAGGTCTGATTTCACGGTCCAAAATGACTTCCCATCTGTGAAGTGGGAATTTAGGAAAGTATTGTCATTAGAAGTGATAAGGGCCGGGGTGTAGCTCCGTGGTGGAGCACTTGCCTCACACCTGAGGGTCCTGAGAGGAGGGAAAGCTTATCCATGGGCCTCTATCTGAGAGAATGGTGTGTGTGTGTGTGTGTGTGTGTGTGTGTGTGTGTGTAAGATCTTTAATTTATAGTCCTAAAGTCTTTCTGCAAGCCAGAGTGATTCATGTGCTACACTGAAGATTTCTGTTTTGTAGGTTGCAAACACCAAGAAAGAAACGGTTTTCAAGTGGCTCAAGGATGATGTTCTGTATGAGACTGAGACCATGCCTAACCTGGAGAAGGGGATCTGTGAGCTGCTCATACCAAAGGTATTGTATGCTCAGTAAAATCAGAGAACCCAAGCGAGTTAGGTTTTTTGATAACTCCTGAATTCTGCATTGTCTTCCAGTGTGTGTTCTGAAATTCCATAGTTTACCAGGAAATGGATTAGCATTTGCTACATTTTGTGCCCCACACATACTGATTGTACATAAATATGGGGTGTGCTCTATTTGTAGTTGTCCAAGAAGGACCATGGTGAATACAAGGCGACCTTGAAAGATGACAGAGGTCAAGACGTGTCTACCCTTGACATAGCTGGCAAAGGTAAAAGGACCCTTCATCCTGCCAGGAATCGCCCTGTCCCCAGGGCGAGCTGGCTGAGACATGCATGCTCCTGTGTCCTCAGCGGGTACACACACTGTTTCTGCAGCAGAAACTTGTAGAAGGAAACATTCATTGCATTCAGAGCTGCTGAAGTGTTTTAGAGAAATGTATGATTCTACTGCAGCTTAGGGGAAATGTCATCTGGACCCTTCACGGGAAGCCAGCTCATCCCAACACCAACAGAGCTGAAATGCTGGCAGCTGTGATGGAGAGGTTCATTAAACCCACAGCTGGATTTGTGTTGAATGAAATGTTCTTGCCCATACTTTGAAAGAGACTAGGTTAGAAGGATTTATCGCCCTCTTGGGCCTTTTACGGATGGATATCACTATTTTCATTCTTCATTTTTCAAATGAACGTCCTGGTTTCTGGCGTCTAACGCAATGTTGGAAAGGCTGCTTTCTGTGAGATAACACGTGGTCACCGTGCATTCCCTTTTCCCTTCCAGTGTACGAGGACATGATTCTGGCGATGAGTCGGGTCTGTGGTAAGCAAGTGCCCTCTACTTCTCCAGTCACTTTGCATGCTAAAGTCTATTGCCTGAGGTGGCCTTCGCCCCTCCCGGGACGGAGCTTGTGGGCCACAGTGCACGCAGCTCCATGATGCTCCCTTCAGTGCTTTTCCACGTTGGATCTGGAGTCTGTGTTTAGTTTAAAATCAGAATTCATCACCTCTTCCCACATGCCTTGGTTAATCTGGACAGTTGCTTTATCCAAATTTGTTATCAGCATCTTTATTTCAAATGATAAATAGCAATAATGAAATTTTAAAACTCGGGCTTTGTGTCACATGCATTAGATTAATTTTAGATTGGCAAATAAATTCTCTCTGTTGATCTGCCTTCCTGTGGAAACTGTGAGAGCAAAAATATGGGTTAATAATTCAATAATAATATATTTACATGGTGGTTTATGCTGACAATCATGTGATTTTACTACGGTAGGCTCTTTAGAGAGGTCATAATCTGTATCTTCTGATGAGTAACCGAGACCTAGGCGCCAGGAGGTCTAACTGCATGGGCAGCCAGCTGCGGTCAGGACCCCAGCAGAAGCCCTCGGCTGAGCACAGGGTCCACTGCAGACACTCCGTCTCTGGCATTCCTGTGAGATTGTCTGTTCCCACTGCTTACCCCAGGCAGTGGGGTAAGAGAGACTCTCTAGTTTTGCCAGCAAGCCTACCTGGTTGTGCATGGACCCATGTTCTTCACTCTGGGAAGGTAGACCAGGCCCGTGGAAGGCAGCCTCTCCTTGCCCTCTCAGGAAGCTTCTCGTGCACGTAGGGCACACAGCTGGGGGCCACCAGGGGGTGATGCTTAGATTTTTCTTCTGTCCTCTCACCCAGGAACTCCTGGTGCTGGAGGACTGACCCCAGGCCCCCATCTCCTTGACCCCGTCACTCCTGCCGAGTGTCACTCCTTGGCTGACCTTCCACGACACCTAAGATGCAGGCCAATGAGTGTTTTCCATGCTGCATGTTTATGCCCTTCTGGCTCTCCCACTGAAGCGAAGCAGCTAGGGGCAGATGCCGATCCTCTTCCAAAGCCATGAGTCTCTGACGTGTTTAGCAAAGGGCTTTCCAAATCATCCTGGCATGGCCAATGCTCATGTAGAGAATGAACATTACACGGGAATGTGGAGCAAAAGTCTTTGACTGCATAGTTCACCACACTCAAATGAGAGGATGCGGTGCTGGTGGACACACCGGAGTGTCAGGATCAGAATGGACACGGGCGAGTGCAGAACAGGAGCGGGTGTGCCTGGGGAGGTGTGTGTTTGAAGTAGAGAGCGTCACTGAGAATGGGACCTGGGGCCTGGCACGCACTTAGGGCATCCCTCACTGGAAAAGAGTGCTGTGTGATCAGCAAAGATCAAGAGGGTGGTTACAACAGTGTGTGACGGCCTATGGCAAGTGCCTTACTCCTCTCTCACTACTGCCAAGCAGAGAGACTTGATATGTCGAATCTTTAAGATATGCACAGTACTCCACACACACTATCCAGTGTGCCGCTGTCGACGGCTCACGCTGCTCCCCCGACACCTGCGTGGCTCTGTGTCTGCAGGGGCGTCTGCCTCTCCACTGAAGATCCTGTGCACCGCGGACGGCATCCGGCTCCAGTGCTTCATGAAGTACTTCACAGAGGAAATGAAGGTCAACTGGTACCACAAGTGAGTACTGGGCAGCAGCCGTGGCCCAGGCGCACGGCCAGGATGGGGCTGGGTGCCACGGCATTGCCTGGTCCTTCCTGATTTCAGTTCTGAGCCATCGTGAGCCCTGGGCTGGGCTGGGGGCCGGCTGGCTGTGGGGAGGACCTGCAAAGGAGAAGGAGTGACTCCTGCGGTTGTCAGAGTTTCCCCGTGCACCGGGCTGCTGCTGGTGCGCCTCACTGGGAGCGAGCAGGGAGGGAAGAGGGAGCAGCCCCAGGAGGCTGGGGCGCACATCCCCAGCAGCTCCATCAGGAACCCGGGGCCCAACGTGCCATAACTGAAGTAATGCAGAGGCCGCCATCCTGCCACACGAGCAGCATGGCCTCTGTCCCGCCTACCTGGGCGGGTCCCGTCACCGATAGAGCCACTGCGTGGAGCTGTCCCTCGGCCATGCACAGGGTTCCCTGCCACTGGGGTCTGGCCCTTCAGAACTGAGCTGCAGGCTCGCACCCGAGACCAGGCAGGTGGCATCTAGGTCCCAGGGTTTCTGTGTTGGGATCACCATCCCCAGAGCCACAGCTGCTGGTGCGCGGACCTGAGGAGGGGCAGATGGAGCCAGTGCTGCTTTGCTGTCCCTTGTAACCCGAGAGAGGCCAGAGGGCAATGTCCACGGGCTGTGCTTCCAGGGTGTCCCAGCTCTGTCCTGGTGTCCATACTGTGCCTTTGGACATTGCATTTGCCTAATTTGGGTTTCAGAAGGGAAACAGTGGTCATAAACAATATTATTTTGTCCAGGTGGGTCTAGCTATGAGCAACTCCTAGTTTTAAAGGGCTACATGTTCCTGTGTTTTTCTGTTGAGAGTCTGGCACACTACAGCCTTGTCTTGGATGCTGGGCTTAGAAACGGAATAGTATGGCCCTCAGAGCTTGCCTCATGCTTGGAACTGGCGCTGCTGTGCTCTTGAGTGTGACAGCCAGCACCGGGCAGACTCCTTACACATCCATGTGGAGGATCTTGGTAGAAAAGTGTATTGGAGGCAGGGGACTAACACTCGGGTACGCTTTGTGGTGTATTTGTTTATGGGACTTATTTGTTAAGACGATGAATCTCTCTCCAGCTGAATCAAACCCCCTGGAACCCAGGATCTATTACCTCTTCTCTGTTTCCTTCTGTTTTTTTTTTTTTTAATCAGAAATTGAACCCAGGGGTGCTTAACCACTGAGCTGCATTCCCAGCCTGTTTTTAATTCTTTATTTTGAGACAGGGTCTTGCTGAGTTTCTTAGGGCTTCGCTAAGTTGCTGAGGCTGGCTTTGAACTTGCAATCCTCCTGCCTCGGCCTGCCAGGCCTCCTCTTTTATGGCAGTGTGATTCATGGAAAGCCGTACACAGGTGCAGCTGTGCCCTGCATCCGGCCATGGTGGGGCTGGTCATGGTGTCCATGCCTGGAGAGGCCACGCCCCTTCAGCTTGTCTGGCTTGTCCGAGGAGTGTACTCTGTGTTGGGTCTGGGGATTTGGAGACCACACTCGCCCATACACACCTGCACGGGCACACACAGTTGTGTGGATGTGCGATGTCAGCCCTAGCTTGTGGCACTTGTGCCCAACACCTGACACATGGTTTCAGGTGGTGCTCACAGATGCCCGATGACTTGGGTATTGATGCCCCATTTTACAGATGAGGAAGTTCAGGGTTAGTGAGAGAAATGTGTCCCTTGTTCAAGGCCACACAATTAGTAAGTGAAGAGCAGGGAACTGAATGGAGTTTGCAGTTACTACCAGGCATTCGTGAGTGACAGGGAGCCTCATGAGGGTGTTCATCCCAGACAGACAGGGGCACAGTGCACAGGTCTGACCACCACCATGCAGCATCCAGGGAAGAGTCACTAGATACACAGAGAGGCAGAAACACTGCAGCAAATTCCTGACTTGTTAAAGGGGCATTATTTCTGCTTGTTCTTCTCCAAACAGGATTTATTATACAATAGAGCTGGCACTTCTTTAGCAGTTTTATAACCCAAGTATAACCTTTGGGCCTCAAGGTATTATATAAACTGGAAAGGATGTACTTTTAGGTACGTTTTACTGTTTGACTATTAAACAGCATCTGCTCTGTGGTTGTAGTCCATCACTGAGATGCAAGGCTTGGCCATTAAAAGTAGATGCTCTACTTGGCTATTAAAAGAGCTATCAGGTGGCAACTGCAGACAGAGAGCACTGAGCAGGGCTACGGGGCCTGGGCTGTCCTTAGTAGCCCATTCCCTGAGATCAGTGTGGAAGCCCAGGAGCTGCCTCCTGGCCTGGCCCCTGCAGCCCCCTGAACCCCATCCTTGGCTGCTGCAAGGGTGGTAAGACACACCGTGAGTTCCAGGGCTGGTTCTCTGCAGAACCCCTACTTGGCCAAAGTTACTGTGGCCTCTGCTTGAAGCTGGTGGGTGGAGAGAGACCTGCATCCTAGTGTGTGTGTGGCCCTGGAGTCTGTTTCCTGAGCCCAGGACTGTGACTTCTGTGAATCTTTCCCTCACCCTCTAACTCTCAGTGACTGGGAGGTGGTCTCTGCAGGCCTGTCCAAACAGGCTGGCCTCACAGTGTGGCCTAGGGGTCGTGCTGGAAGGCAGGGCTGGCACCTAGTCCTTGGTCAAGCTTTAAACCCTGTGTAGGTCCACAAAGGTGGGGCTCAGCGCCTCGGCCGTTTGTAAGCAGACAGCACGACGACATGGAGCGCAGCTGCCACCGCGGTCCTCCTTGGAGCTCCTTCACCTTGTGGACTGAAGCTCTGTCCCTACGGAACACCGGCTCCCCGGCCCTCCCCAAGCCCCTGGCATGCACCAGCCTGCCTCTGTCCCAGGGCCTCCTCTGAGTGGGGCCCCATGTGGCTGTCCCCTGTGTCTGCCGTTTCACTGAGCTGGCGTCCTCAGGGTTCACTTAGGCTATGCCGGGGCAGAAGCTCCTTACCCATTTGGGGCTGAGTAAATCCCGCCATCTGTAGAGACCACCTTGCCTTATCCTTCTTCTCTCAGCAGACACGAGTTGCACACATCTGGCTGTGTGTGCGGTGCTGCTGTGAGCTTGGTGCACATGTATCTGCCTGCACCCCTCCTTCCAGGTCTTTGGAGTGTACTCCCATAAGTGCAATTGCTGCGGCATATCAGAGTTTCATTTGCAGTTTTGTGAGGAGCTGCCATGCTGTATGAAGTATTTTGAAGTTTATCATGTGACAGGTGTATATTATATACTAATGCATCTTTAAAATTAAGTACAGTGTAATTTCAGGAAGCGTCAGGTTTGAGTTACCGATGTTCTTGGTGAAACTGTAGTAGCCAGAACATCTCCAGGCCATTGGCATCAGTGAGAAAGACCCCCCCCCCCAGCGTACATAGTGTTGCCCCTGGTACTGTGCGTCGGACATGGAAACTGAATCGAAGTGTTGCTGTGGCTTCTTTAAAGAGATGCCAAGATCTCGTCCAGCGAGCACATGCGGATAGGGGGCAGTGAGGAGATGGCCTGGCTGCAGATCTGTGAACCCACGGAGAAGGACAAAGGCAAATACACTTTTGAGATTTTTGATGGCAAAGACAATCATCATCGCTCACTCGACCTCTCTGGACAAGGTGAGAGACCTGTGCATTATCTACCCATGCCTGGTACCCAGTGATCCATCCAGATCCCAAAACAGAGGAGATGTGCTGACCGTTCACCTGAGTGTGTGATTTCACTCAGAGAAAATCTCTTCTGGGCAGTGCATTACTCGTTTGGTCATTGATCGTTTCTGTTGATCAAACCTGCAACATCTGCAGACAGGAGCTGAGCTCTTCCACAGTTAGTAACGTGTGCACTGTTTCCTTGCAGCCTTCGATGAAGCCTTTGCGGAGTTCCAGCAACTCAAGTAAGACCTTCATACATGATTATTTTTCTATCAGATCGTGGTCTGGCTGGCTCAGGGCATTTTGCTATGTGAGGGAATGTCTATAGATGCCCAGGTGACCCCAGGAATGTGCTCTTCAGGTAGTTCACTCTGTAGCAGCATTCTTCTAAACCAGAAACACATTTATGAGTTAGCTTTTCAGAGTTGTCACGACCCTGCGTACTTTAAATGATGAGATTTCTGAAATCATTGAAATCATGGTGACACATCATACAGAACAACCTTTAAACAATAATTGGGGATTTCCGCATGCCTGTCTGAGTCTTAGAGGATTCAAATGAGCGCTTGCTAGTGATGTGTCACATCTGCACAAGTAAGATAAACCCAAACCACCAATTCAGAATCACTTTAAAAGTCTTCAATGTGATCTGGTGAATCTGGTGAAAGAAAGTAAGTTTCTCCACCTGGTGGGTCTGCCTGCGGCCTTCCCTCTGTGACCCAGTGTCAGGCTGGTGTGCTCCCCATCACAGAAAAGGCAGAGGAAGAGATCAGAAAAGTCAACTTTGGCCCTTGTGAGCAGAGGGTCCATATCCCTGGGTTCAGCCAACCGTGATAAAAAGCACTTGGAAAGAGATTGCATGTGTGCTGACCATGCACGACTTTTTCTTATTATGATCCCTAAAACAATTCAGTGTAAGTGCGCTTTTCCAAGGGTCCACTTGGCATTAGGAGTTACAGGCAGTCTAGGGATGATTTAAAGGAAACCAGAGGCACTAGGTTCTATGCAAACACCAGTCCTCTTCATCTGAAGGGCTTGCGCAGAGTGGGGTTTGGTGTCTTTGGGGTCCTGGAACAGACCCTGGGGACTGAGGGAGACTGCACAGAGAAGCAGGTGTATTCTCTTCCTGTGCTTCTGTGTGGTGCGTTTTTGACAGCAGCATGTCTGTTCTCTCTCTCCTCCCCGTGGCGTTAGGGCTGCGGCCTTTGCAGAGAAGAGTAAGTACATGTGGGATGATAACGGGGCGGCACGTGACCTGGGTGCAAAGGGTGCCCGTTTCCCATGACTAACTTGGTGTGCAGACGATAAGCGGCCAGCGTTCCTGCCCCCATTCAAGCATGTCCAGCCTCCTTCTAGATTTGCTTTTCTTAACCTGGACCTTTCTCCTTCCTGTCTTCCACCCCCCCTTGCAAAATCCTGCTCCCCATGCCACAACCCCTCTCCTCCTCCCGGGTCCTGGGTTGGCACTCTTCTGTCACCCTCGGGCACACATCCCACATTTCCTCTGGAGCCTGTCGCCTGCCCCTGAACAGGGTCTGCTATTCTGGTCTGCCTGCCCGTGGCCTGTGGTTCCTCTCCCACAGTGCATGTATCCTTCTCTTCCCTGTCGCCTCCCAGAGGGGCACATGCCCCTTCCCACTTCCACCTTGGTGCCACGAGGTGCCAGGGAACATGCTGTCAGTGCCTTCCCAACACAGTGGCTTTCCTGTTGCAGATCGTGGCAAGGTGATTGGTGGCCTGCCTGATGTGGTGACCATAATGGAAGGCAAGGTGAGAGCAGGCTGCAGGGTGCAGAGCTGGGGCAGGGGGTGGCCGTGCACGAGTGTGCAACCCCATCCTCAGGACAGGGGGCGGCCACGCAGGGGTG